TACTCTTATGCTGCGGGCACAAATACCTAGCGACCCTGTTGGAAAAACGAATAGAATGAAGTAATGTTGATTATGAGATTATGATCTGAGACAATAACTCAAGCAAAGCGACTGTAAAGGTTTTTATATCACATAGACTTTGATTAAAATGCAATAAGAGGCTCTTAGACGTGTTCAACCTGTAATAAAATGACGCATTTATTTGAAAAGCTCTCCCCAGAAATGTTTTTTTCACCGTATAAACTTCATATGTATATGCAAAGACCTTCATGCCCTCAATGAAACGGTCTCTTGATGTCAAAAGCAGGGCCATATTTAGCGAATCTGCAGCGAGAACTTGTGGTTTAACTTTACACAAGACCTGGATTAATTCTGAGAACTGTGTACAAACTAACTTCAAGAATAATTTTTTTTCTAAGAGGGATCTTCACGAACTTCTAGACATACTTTTTCAAGCAAAAGCTTCTCATACATTGCTCTCCGAAGTTGGTTAAAAACTAGTAGGTTCATTCATTTGTCGGATAACAACAGGGCATATATCGGAAATGGGATGAGAAGCTCAAAGAAGCAAGTAGCAAAGATATAAGCTTAATTCAATACCGCTTAGCGATAACTAAAATTCTCAGAAATGAAAATGACATTAAATATTCTGGAAGAACCTTTCAGCAACTTACTACTTCTCTCGAAATTTTTGATGTAGAAGAGATCTATCTAGTAGATATACTAAAAGATTTGTCTAATTTAAATGGAGAAACAGTTAAGCCAAGTTCTTCAGAACCTACTTAAAGTTTTATAAAAGGAAGATGCGCTGTGTTGATAAATACTGCTTTTATACACACGAACTGGCGCTTTTTACTCAGGCTACTGTTCCTATTTTCCTGCGTGGCCTGAAACCACTTTCATTATATACAATTGACCATGTTGATGAGGTTGAAGCGTATATCCGACAATCAGTCGGCCATCCGGTCAGCGAGTATAGACAATCACTCAGCCAAGTTACGCCTTGAAAAGCTTTCACTGCATTTAGAGGGCATCGACATGAAAATTATGCAGCACATTTATATTGATTACAAACATATTTGGATACAAGTATGTATTCGTACATAGGTATGGGGAAATGGAAAGGTTTTATTGAAAAGTAAAAGCGAGGCCATAACTTAGCGCAATGCTTTGATTGATTGAAAAAATTTGGAAATTGTTGGGAACAATTGTATTATTTCCACAATGAGGAGTTTAACCAGATATGAATCGCGGAATTAAAAAAAAGACGAATTAAGTCATAATTAAATATAGAAGTACTTAAAAACAAGAAAAAACAACATGCTATATTGCAGATGCATTTCTTATAGCAACTAAAGGGTGTTTTTTTAGACATGTGATTTCCCAAGAAGAAATAAAACGCATATTATTTTTTATTATAGGTTAGAATTTAGCTTTATTATATATATATACATATATATATTATATATATATATACAAAAGTTTACTTCAATAAATTTAATACATAGTTCGCAGTATGACATGTAGCGCCGTCTTGTTGAAACCAAAGGTCGTCCACATCAAGGTCCTCCAATTCAGGCATGAAAAAGTCATTAATCATTCATGACTCTATAGCGTTCCCTTTCGACTGCAGCCATTTGGCCGGCTTCATTTTTGAAGAAATATTGATCATCGATTTTCTCTGCCCATAGAGCACGCCAATTAGTGGCTTTTTGAGCATGTTACGGCGTCTATCATCACTCCAATTGCGGCAATTTTTTTTATGAACGTACTCATTCAATCAAAAGTCAGCTTCATCGCTGATCAAAATCTTATGAAAATCGGGATCTGTGGCCAACTTCTTTTGGGCCCATTCACAGAACGGGCGACGCGTTGGATGGTCGTTCGGCATTAATTCGTGCACCAGCTTGATTTTGTAAACCCGCAAACCAAAATCCATCAACAAAATCTTCCAAACAGTGAATGGACAAATGGGCATTCTAGTCTTCTTCGACACTCTGCTCCATAGCAGCAATAGCGTCTTCGGTGCGCACTGTACAGAATATCTGAGAATGCGCATTATCCACAAAAGTAAACGTGGTATGAAACCGACTCTAGTGGATCGTCTACTTCGATTTGTTCTTTGAGTCTCAATGGCGTCATGGATTCATTAACCGCTACGTACAACGTTCTTCATATTTTTTTCGATTCAACTATATTCGATTTAAGCGCTATCTACATTAAGAGAAAGAAAGTGTCCGGAATTTTTTTTTCGATATTCTCGGTTTGGTTCATCATTAATTCGTTCCAACGGGACAGACGGTCAATAAAGAGTATTGTTTGAGCGTTTTGAGGCGTTTGCGCGAAAGCATCCGTCGTAAACGGCTGGAATTGTGGGCCAACAATTTTCGGAAACTTTCTGGTCTTAGTGTATAGCACCTACATGATCACTATTCTAATGAAAGTAGTTTTTACATAACCGAAACGGACATGGATTTACGTTCAGCGAAGAATCGACAATTCAACAGCATTTGTCAAACTCTTTTGGTGAATGCTTTCTGGCATTACAACAACAATAACAAACACCGTCAATTGCACCACCTCGCGCTATAACTACAACTTTTACCGTAAAGTAGTTACCAGCAGCTAAAAACATTATTAGAAAGCAAGAATGTGTTGGGCGCAGACAATGAAAAAAGAATTGTGAAAAAGTGCAGCAAATGGCGATAATAACAGACAATGTTTTTCCCAACATACTTTTTACTTCATTCATTCTTTTTTTTTCATGCTCTTTTCACTTAACCGCAAGTGAAACCAACCGGCTGCCGTCGATGAACGTGCTATGCGAGGAGTACCTGTCTGATAATGTCGGCTAATGTCTGCCCACCCAGTCTTGCGACTCACTCAGCCGGCCCGTTGCAGTAGTGACGCTGTTAGTGCCGTTATAAAAGCTCTTTACGGGTACCGTTGACGGTGAGATGATTGAAATGGGTTGGTAACGCTTGATCGGTTAGTATTGTTTGCGGTGTTCGACGCTTGCTTGATTGACGCATTTCTCTTTTCATTTCATTGCGCGGTTGTCTGACTTTTTGTTTTTCTTTTCGCATTCGGCTCATTTCGTTTTTCATGCGCTTGACGTAAAACGTCGCTTCACTCGCGTTTACTTTCAGTTTGACTTGATGTGGGTTACATCGCTGGACGATTGATAGAGAGTTGGCTATAAAAAGTCGCCGTTTTTCATGCATTTTGAGTGCATGAATTACTGTAAGTAATTTTTTAAACCAGGCGAAAAATTGGAGTTGTAAATCACCGTATATTATATTCTCGATTGTTTTCCATTTCATGCATTTTAGTTGTGGCTAATTTGGTATTAAGTTCGTGAAAGCAGACTTAAATTTATTGATCTTCCAAGTAAAATATCACTTTTTAGCTCTTTGATCGCTCCTAACCCAATGTTGGCTTATTACAAAAAATTGTTTTTCTTTTTTTTTTTTTTTGATACAGGCTTTTTCGATCAGGCTATATACCATAATAATATATTATACATATATTTTCCCCAGAATTACTCATTGTAGCTTCATTATATATTATCTAAACACAGTTAAATACCTCCTACCATGAACTAAATTTTTCACGCCGAAATGTAGGCAACATAATATATCTCCTGAAGCTTTGCGAAATATGGTACTAGCTAATTGTACCAAGGTATTACTAGAGACACGACGTACTCAATGTAATACCGTTTCGAACGTCGACCAAAGTGCATACACTCAATATGACTAACCTAAGTGGCTCTGGCTTTCAGTTTTGTTGAACACAATGCTCTAAAATTTGCTTTTGAACTTTCTTAGAGAAACTACATTCCTACCCAGATTCTTTTTGTAAGGAATAGTAGATATATTGTATCATAACTAAGAAATTCAAGCTAATTGCTGACAGAACATATAAAGAATACTTCAGTCAAAGCTAAAACAATGAAGATTCCCGAGCAATACGAGGAGTCAAAATTGAATTATATCAAGGGGTTACATGGGTTTCATCGAGCAAAAAACGCCCTATTTTGAATAATTTGTTTTTCATATAAAAATTAAATTTTTTATTCACACTTTTTATTGTTCCGAAGAAGAGAAGAATATTTCATAAAGATTTTGTGAAATTTTCAAAGTAAAATATTCAAAACTCGGTCATTACTACGTCATTTCCGGCAGTCCCTCGGAAAAAAGGTCCACGTTGACAGCATAATTTCTGACAGGATCAGTAAAAGTAAAAAGAAAAATATACGTGTTTGAACTAAGACCATTAACTAGTTTTCGGAATGAGAAAAAATACACCAAGTAAAAATTATATTATTTTTGACAGATGTTTTTACAAAAACATGCAAATTGTGTGGAAAATTTCTCGAAGTTTTTTTGCTGTATAAAATTGCATTAAGATCGGTTGAGTAGCTCGCGAGAAATCTTGACAACCGACTTTGAAACACACAGTTTCAAGAAAAACGCGTTTAAAGTTTTAAGTGAATATATGCTACTGAATCTTATCACAAGATAAGAGGATATAGGTAGACTTTAGGTGATCATATTGCTACATTTCTAGCCACTTATTGAAGAAACTCCACCAGAGGAAAAATCCTTAAAGCAAACTAGAGAAATTTCTATCGAGAAAAAGAGAAAGATACTTAATGTTTGCCGTTCGGACTTGCTGGAATATGGAGTCTACATGGTACTTTATTGCTTCACTTCAATAAAATTTCTTTCTTTTGCTATAAGTAGATTCATGGAACTCTGAACTGTCATTTTCAGGATGAGACCATCATTGTTCGGCAGCAAACATATTCTGCACTTATTAAAAAACGGAAATAAAAAGCAAGTGGTAAAAAGAAATAAAGTTTGAAATAAAGTATAACTTTACGAGATTTAATTCAGATTGCGTAGACTCGATTTTTTCAAAACAGTGTATAAAATAAATACTAAGCTTTAGATATTATAGTTGCATTAAATTTCCATCTTCTATTGCAGACAAATATCATCTTTCTTTTGGTCTTCATCGTCGCCATCAGTACAACGACTGCGGGTTTCGGTTTTGATTCGGCCAACTCGTGTAGCACACAAGGAACTAAACTATCGCGACGTGGAAGAGCACAAATGTTAGCCACCATACCGTGCGATCTGACACGACAAGCCTACTGTCATCTACCCGGTTCGGCATATCCTTGGCATGCAGTACGTCGTTTTGTGCACGAAAACCATGGACTCATGAAACGCATGTATGGCGATGTGAAACATATTTCAGTGTTGCGCGACGAGATACTCAACAACGAGATCGATGTGGATGATGTCGAAGTGGCCGCCGAACGTTACTCGAAGGAGCCGCATAGAGCACGCGCGGCCAAATATATGCAAGCACCGCGCGAGGAATTTAGTAGTATTAAAAACAATGATGTGGTGATGGAACCGCATTTTCGACCGGTCTCCTCAACAACAACTACAACGACAGCCGTACCGGACGAAACTGGCAGTACAACCAGTGAGGTTACCGTAGTGGAAGCGAAAATGGAAGCCGAAGAACGTCCAGTGAAAATTCCGAATGGCGCACTAAGACGTAGAATTAACGGCAATCCAAATGGTGGTGGAAATAGACGACGCATCAATGTTTATGTTAACCGTAATAGACCGACACATTCGTCATTACGCCGACGCACGACTACAACAACTACCACAGCAGAACCGCCGCCGCTAGTGGAAAATGTAGAACAACCTGAAGAGTTAGTGTTACACGAAGAAACTATACTCGAAATACCCGAAGACGATGGTAATCTTGCATCGAACAGTGTCTACGAGATACCCACACTACAGGACGCGTCAATAAATATGGGCGACAACATACAGATCGTCGAATCACCACAACTCGGACAAATGCAAAAACCATTGACAGAAGGAAGAAATAATTCCGAGACAGCCACCATATCGACCACACTTAAAGTGGTTTCCACGCTGGCAACCAAGGTGAGACCGGCAGCCGGTGCAATACCGGCCTCACCGGCGCCGGTGGCGCCCACACCACTGCAACAACAACTTAAAACACAAGTGGAACGTCAACGACCTGGCCAACAGCCAACACAAAAACTCAAACTGCAACAAGTGAATAAACCGCTGCCAACAAATGCCGATACGAGCGCCATAAAAGAAAGTTCGATATTAAAATCAAAACCAACCAACGAAAGTGAACGTACACAAAGCGCCACGGCAATAGCACCCGTCTACAATAACAACAACAGCGCCGCAACACAAGCCTTGAAAGCGGCGTACGACGATACAGACGTCACAACAGACACCGATAATGAGCCGACGCTGTCAAGCATTGGCGCTACGAACGCCGCAACGGACATCACAGCAACCGTAACGGCAACAGCGACGGCAGCCGCAACATTAGCAAGCAATGCACAGCTGAAATATGAGCTGACTAAAAATAAATATCAATATAATAACGGTGAGAATAAAGCCGATCTGCCGGCAGTGACAACAATCGAACAGACACCATCAACCACAGACGCAACGAGGTTTACATCTACGCAAGCCGAACTGTCTTCGGCTGCTAAGACTACAAGCTCGCCAAGTGTGGCAACAACCGGTGCAGAGGCAGCACCGTCAGCTCCACACACTGAACTGTTTGCCAGTGAGAAAATTCAGAGACCACAATTGGCGCCGCTACAAACAGCGCAAGCTGCGCCAACGCAGACTACGCCAGTCAGTGCTACAGCGGCTGCGTCAACGAAACCAGTGCTGCGCGATGGCCAATTGTATCAAGATGCGCTAAAGCAAGAGGTGAAACCGGGTCCCAATATGCGCGGCATGTAAGTGAAATATTGTGATGGATGGTATTAGATGGCAATTAAATTGGTCGAGTCTGTTAAATCTGATTTTAGAAGGGGTGGTCGGAAAATAGTAATACAAGACTTTAGTTTAAGAAGCCCTTTGCTTCTCTTGACTCTGGTCTTTTAAAAAACGCATGACAAATGCAACTCTGTTTACAAAAACAACATTAGTTCTCACTCTAAGAAAGATATACACAATTGGTTAGGGTACAAATTTCGGTCAGAAAAAAATTTGTCGGCATTTTTTTTTATAAAACTTCTGTTTTTTGAATGAAAAAACCACCGCGTATTTACCCGAAATGAAAACAAAAATTATGGCGCGAACTACAATACAAATTTGTTAGGCTATCCATTGCAGGATAACATCAAATCACACAACGAAAAGAGGATGTCTAAAATCAAACCTGATAGATTTGTATCTGAACTTTCAAGAGAGAGCTTCTTGAACCTCCTGTCTTCAAACACAAATACTACACAAAATTAATATTCCATAAAAATACTAAAAATTTACTAAATTTATCTTGCCCTCTTTTCACTTTCCAGTAATGCCTGTCCCGTAAAGGAAGAAGTGGTCGCGCCCTTTTGGGCCAACAATACACGCGGTGAGGTGTTGGCACTCCTAAATCTCTACCCCTTCGAGCAGTATGTGCATTGGGAGAAATGCACGCATGAAAATCGACAGATGTATTGTCGAGAGGGTTGCCGCTGTGAACAACAATATCGTCTACATCGTTTATTAGCCTACGATCCGCACAATGAATGTCGCGGCATATTCTCCGATTGGTTTCGTTTTCCCTCATGCTGTATCTGTAAATGCTATGGCATACCGTCAGAGTTTCGCGCCACATCGCGTAGTCCACGTTCCGAACGTATGGATGATTTTGAGACTATGGCTGAAGAAAGGGATTTCGACGATGATAATGATGACGCGCAAGCAGCAGATTCAATGGAATCGGTAAAAGACCAACAGTCGCAACATCCGCTTGATGTTGCTGAGCAATTGGTGAGACAAGCGATCTACGAACATGCAACCGAGGATTGGTATCGACCTAAGGATGAGTTCGATTTTTATGAAGGTTAGATTTAGTGCATGATGGCAACAAAGACAGTTGAACAAAGCCAATGAAATCATATTACTGGAGTTTTGTGAAAATGAGTTAAAGCTTTCAATATAAAATTAGTCGTAAATTAACTGTGGAAATAAGTGATTTGAAAGTTAAAACGTAAAAGGCAGTGACAATAAAATGTTGGCTATAAATTTTGTGCAGGTATACATATATAAAACTTTGTCTTACTTACCAAGACTGCGTGTAGAGGAACTTTGAAGACCTGAAAAAAAGTAAAACAGAGTTATTAGAATTCTAACAAAGGAAAATACTTAAAAGTTTTTGAGAAAAGTTGAGTTCTTTATGTCTTATTAAGTTGAATTCTATGCTATTAAGTGAGGTTTAGTTAATTGATGAGCTGAAACTAGTACTGACTAAGCCGGTCTAACTTATCCTAATAACATGTATCTTTTTTGGTTGATTCTCTGGGAAATGTGAGGTTAGAACTTCAGAGAATAATGACCGTTCAAACGAAAAATCACCTATAATTCGACACAAAAATTTGAAAATTCAGATAATTAGATATAATCGACTAATTGGAAAATCATCGTATTTTTGCTGAGGTTTCGAAAATGTCTAATCTGTATTAGCATAAAGAGTTATCTAACTCTAAAACAAACGAACACTGCACTAGGTCATTTTTCGAAACATTTTCTAGGAGAAGACGATCTCCGGATCTCGGAAACAACGTTCCATTTGAGTATTTCTCCAGCAGTGTTTTGAGCCCTTTTTTCCATAAACCCTACAGTTATCGCCAGTCTTCCATTTTCTTTTGTAATCGCGTGAAGGTCTAAGTACTAATCTTTTGACTCGAAAAAATATCTGAAAACCGTGTAAACTTTTTTCAACTTTGAATCAGAAAATCAGGCGTCTTGTAAGTGTATAAAACCACGCTGGCCTTTTACAACACACATTTACTCAGCAGAATTCAGCTTTTAACTTTCGTAATCTGCGGTGTACTTTATTGAATATAGCCTAGGTTCGTCAAAAGCTCCGAAACTTCAAAATAACTTGACCAACTTACAACTGACGAAGAAATAGCCAGTTATAATAGTGCTAATCGATTGGCGACTAACCGAAAGCCATTAAATACCATAATTGATTTAGAGAGTTTGATTTTACTTGTAACAATATTTTTTTTAACTCCGATTTTACTCGTGCACTGAAACATCAACTCCAGAATATGATTTCCATTTTAGTTACAAAAATAATGTTTGCCTATTCTAATTTTTATAGATACTTGTATAATTAATTTTTTTTATTAATATATTTTTACGTTTATATTCATATTTTTTTGCAGCTAGTCGAAATTTTTATTGTTATTACTTAATTTTCATAATTTTAATGTTTAGAAAAAACGTCGGCGTTATATCAATTGTAAATATAGTTTTGTGATATAGCGCTGTGAATACGAAGTTTTTACCATGAGCGAATGTACCTTGAATACTTAAAGACAAAGTGTGCGCATGCCCAAGTGGGTATGTACATGTGTAGGTATGTATGCATGTGCATATATATTATATATGAAAAATGCACACTTTGCTTAAGTTTAATTATATATATGTATATGTATAGTGTAAATAAAATTAATTATAGCGAAATAGCAAAAAATATTTTAAGTTAAGACAATTATGTTTTTATTATTATTTTTTTCAGTTTTGAAAATATTAATATTGATATAAATTAAAATAAATAAAAATGATTTAAAATTATCTGAAATTTTAAAAAAAAAATTTTTAAGTTTAAAATATTAATCTTAAGTTTTTAATTAATATGATGTGTATTTATAAATATATTTATAAATAAATAATATAACATTTGTGGCCATAAAATTTTTTCAATAATATTTCAAAAACTATTCAACTATAGGGGTTAATGAAAAACAAAGTTGTAAAAATTTTCAAAAATAACGAAACTTTGGATGGGAGGCAGTCGTGCTTATAAAATAGACAATTTTGCTAGTTTTGAATAAAAATTAAGTTTTTTATTAAATTATATCAACCCAAAAAAATATAAGCGATATCCATAATTAGGCTCAAAAATTTAAGTACAGCTGCTTGAGCTCCACTACCTTGTTAAAATATTTATTTGCAAAAAGAGTATGCGGTTATCTGATTAGACTGGCATAACCGCCTTTTATTGAATCATGGACAATCTATTTAATTTATACCAGTTGCTTGTTCGATTTACCACTTTCTATTTCATTAGAAAAGAGTATGGATATCTTTTTCAAATGTTATATACCCTTTATCTATATATATCTTTATACCAGCCTAATGAGATATCAGACGGATATACCCTTTATATTCGATTACGCCAGTCCATTTAATTTATACCAGTTGTTTGTGCGATTCGCCATTATCTATTTCAATAAAAAAAATAATGCCAATACCTCATTAGAGCGGTATAACCACTTTCTATTCGATACTGCCAGTCTATTTAATTTATACCAGTTGCTTGTTTAATTTTCCACGCTCTGCTTCTTTAGAAAATAGTATGCGGATACCTCATTAGACCGCTATAAACTCTTTATATTCTATTATGCCAGTCTATTAATTTTATACCAGTTGCTTGTTCTATTCGACACTCTTCTTTTTATTACAAAAGAGTATGTGGATACCACATTTGAATAATATACCGCTTTCTATTAGATTATACCAGCCTATTTGATTTATACCAGTTATTTGTTTGACTCGCCACTACCTATTTCATTACAAAAGAATATGCGCATATCTGCATACACTGGTATAAGCTCTTAAGGTTGAATTCAGATTGATGGTAGAATTAGCATTGATGGGCATGTAAAGGGATTGAGAGTGCTATAAATATAAATTCAATCAATCTGAGTAGCCTCACCTCAAATACTTTTCTATAAGACACCTTCCTTAAGTTTCTAAAAAATTAATATATTAAAAATTTTATAAAGATAAAAAATTGTATAAAAAATAAAAACTTATATAAAGTTTTATAAAAAATAAAGACTTTTATAAAGTTTATTTTTAATTGTATTTATTGCAAAAAAAGTTTCATTTATTGTAATTCATTTGTAAAACAAGTATGTATATATGTATAATAATAATTTCATTGTCTCTTTCTTGCGTATGAAAAAAATCTACATCAATTCGTTAACCGTTACAACACATTCGACATAGTTTTCGCATTTATAATTTACAACAGTTATATAAATATACATATTTTTTTATCATGACAAATACACAAATATCTATGTATTGATATGTACATGTAAGCTAGTTGCCTAATTGTTATTGTTGTTATTGTATTTAATACATTTTAAAGTGCATTTCGTGAGTTGTACAATAACATTTTTGCATATTTTATTTTAATACAGTATATTTTATATATTTTATTGTGGCATACAATTTTGTATAAATATGTATATAGTAAGCACAATTTAATAAATTTTACATGCATAACGGTATATCTATTAATATATATATATATATATGCACTACCTTTACAGCATATCAAAACTATATGCTTTTCCACTTTATGGTATAAAAAATTATTTTTTCGTGTGTGTTAAATATCTAATAAAATTTTCTATTAGCTATGCGCTTAGAGTAACTGTTTCTTAATCATTTTTGTTTTAACTTTTGAAGGCCACATGTTTCGCAACGTTTTTTATAGTTTCAAAAAAAAAATATTTTGTATTTTTATATAACATATTTTTAAGCTTATATTAAGCAAGATTTGCAAGTAAAATTTTTTATTTAAGCGTAAAATTTCTTGTGCAAAAAACTGAGCAAAATAACTTTTTTATTTTTTTGTGTTAAAAAATTTATAAAAAAACAATATTATTTTTTTAAATAAAGTATTTTTATTAAGTAAAATATTTTTTTAAGTAAAATATTTTTTACTTACGTATACTTATAACAAGAACTTTAAAATTAAAAAGATTTGATAAAAATAATTACGGAAATAAAATTTTTCTTTATATTTTGGGTTAAAAAAAAATTATAACAAACAATATTTTTTTTTCTAATAATTAATTTTTATTAGGTAAAATATATTTTTTTATATAAAATATTATTTTTTTTATATTAATTTTTTTATTAAAATTTTTATTATTTTTATTTAAAAATTATTATTAATTTTATTAAAAAAAATTTTAAAATTTTTATTTTTACAAAAAAAAAATAAATTCTTGCTGAGAATTTGTGTTAAATAAATGAAATAAAATGTAAAGCACCAAGTTAAATCATAAAAAACATATATATATTTTTTTTAATAAATTAATTAATTTTTTATAAGTAATATAAATGTTTTTATTAAAATATTATTTTTTTATATTTATTTTTAACAATTTTTTTAATACTATTTTTTTTTAATATTATTTTTTTTAACATTTATTTATATTAATATTTGTTTTTAATTCCTTATGTTTAAAAAGTATTAGTCAATTAAAACAAATTTTGAAATTTTTATTTTTACAATAAAAGAAATAATTTCCTGCTGATAATTTGTATTAAATAAATGAAATAAAATTAAAAGTACCAAGTAAAATCATAAAAAGCAATATTTTTGTTCATAAAATGTTTTTATTGAGTAAAATAATTTTTTGTTTAGATAAAATATTTTTGTTAAGTATAAAATTTATTTTTCTTTAATAAAATGTTTTTTATATTAATTTAAATTTGTTTAATGCTATATTTTTTTAAACTTTTTTATTAATTTCTTTTTAAATTAGTGTTATTACATCTAGTAAAACAAATTTTTAAAATTTTATTTCTACATAAAAAAAATAAGTTCTTGCTAATAATTTGTGTTAACTAAATGAAATAAAAAGTAGAATTATAAAAGCAATATTATTTTTGTCAATAAAATTTTTATATTGAGCAAAATATATTTTTTTAATAAAATATCTTTATTAAGTATAATAAATTATTCTTTTTTAGTGAAATATTTTTTTATATTTATTTTAATGTTTTTTAAATGCTATATTTTTTTTATTATTTTTTTTTTTTGTATTAATTTTTTTTTTTAATTATTTTTAGTTAAAAAAAACCCTTATTACTTATATTAAACAAAATTTTGAATTTTTTATTTATACATTAAAAAAATAAACTCTTGAAAATAAATGAAATAAAAGAAAAACTAACAAATAAAGTTTTTTCAATATTTTTATTGTTTTAATGTTTTTTTATAAATAGAATTAAAAAATACCAGTTTGTGTGCAAATTTCAAGTCTCAAATAAAAATTTTACATTTATAAGGCTAGTGAAATAATTTTTTTTTTTTTTTTTTTTTGATTTTAACATAATTTCTGTTTAATTTTTTTGTTATATTAACATGTTTGTAAATAATAAATATATGCATATAATTGTGTTTATAATACATTTACAATTTAGTAAACTAAATATATATATAATTTTTCGATTAAATTATAAATAAAACTGTAAAATTGAAATATAAAGTTAAAACTAGAAAAAAGCATTTGTCGCAAATACATAATTACTATCATTTAGCAAAATACCAACATTTGTTTTTTATATGTATTATATATACATATATAATATCTTCACTTTTTTATATTACACATGATATGTACGTATAAATGAATATGTAATGCATGTTTATAAGTAAATAAAAGTATATGTTTATAAAAAAAATTGCATTATAATATTGTTTTACCCTGTAACCCTGTAAAATTAGCATATTTTGAAGCGCAAAGAGAAAAAACGATTTGAAAACAATAATTGAGGCAATTTGACACAGGCTTGGCCTGCACAAAACGCTCTCTTAGTACAACAAATTGTAGTAGAAATATAACAATTTAAAACTAACATTTTCGTTGCTTACTCAGCTACAGACATACCGAAAAGTATGTTGATATTTTACAATTTCGAATATAGTGCTTAGTAACTACATTTTTTAAAATCTTTGCGTCACATAATTAAATATTGAAATATAAATTTTTTAGCAAAACAAAAATTTAATGAAATAAAATAATAATACAGCTATAGAATACACAAAATAATAATAAAAGAAGAAATACTTTGCGTTTAAAGCGTATTACAAGCGCTCAATTGGAAAAATAACAACAGAAAATGTACAATAGAGAAGTAGAAAAGAATTTCGAAAATTAGTTAATAAAATACAAAATTTAAGTAATTTTATAGCACACCGAGTGTGAAATAATTTTTACATTTCTCTTTCATATATGCAACAAAAAAGTTGCAAATAAAAATAAAAATTTGCAATTTCAAATTAATTATAAATTTAAATAAACAAGAATTACTAAAAAAATTTACATGTTTAAATTAAAAACTATTGGACACTCTCTGAAAAATAATATTTGTCATTGTTGTTGTTGCAACATAGTTAATCTACAGTGTAAAGCAATAGTAAGTAGCTTACAGTAAATATAGTTTACAGTTAATAGTTAACAACTAATAAAAGCTAAAAGCAAATCATACTAAGTGAATACTTCTTAGAAGGTTAGTTAATACAAAAGTAGTTATCTACAGATATAGATAAAAGGACAAAACAGAACAGGAAAGCAGGAAAAGTAATACAAAACGTCTATAAAAAGACTGGCGTTTGAAAAATATAATAAACAAAAAGGAAACAATTATATAAATTATAATATAAAAATTAAAATAAAAATATAAAAGAAAAAAAATTAATTTTAAAAAACATAATAAAAAATATATAAAAAAAAATTTTTTAAATATATAAAAAAATATTAAAAATATGTAAAAAAAAATTTAAAAATTTATAAAAAAATTTAAGAATATAAAAAAATTTTTTTTTAATTTAAAAAAATATAAAAAAACATTTAAAAAATATAAAAAAATTTAAAACAATATAAAAAAAAAATTTAAAACAATTTAAAAAAAATTTAAAAATTTTAGCAAATAAAAAATTATAAAAGTAATTAAAAAAAAATTTCATAACAAAAATATAAAAAAAAATTAATAAAAAAAATTTTAATATAAATAAAATATTATAAACAATACATTTTTTTTTATTTTAATAAGCGCAAAATTAAAAGCATTTTCAACAAGAAGCGCAATTTAAGCTTACCAAACAAAAAAAATATATGTTTTAGCCAACAAAGGTAAGCTTAAAACAGGGAAATAATAAGTAAAGTTGTATTGTCTGCTGTCTTAACAATTGCAAAAAAAAATATTATCAATTGAAATTCTTTCTTTAAACAAACATAATGTGCGTTTTACACTTAACACCTAAATGCCATACACCCTAATGCCAGTGCATATTTATTACAATCCGTTGTCGCCAGCAATGCTTAAGCGCTTACAGGCACCCACAGCAATTTATCCAGCTCCTTGTCCACGGCATCCTTGATTTGTGTGCACATATGCTTGATGCTAACGCCCGGTATAACAGCTGTAAGACATGTAAGACAACATAACAAATATTAATGTTTATAGACAGGACAAAAAGATGACCAACACTCACCTGATATGTACTGCTTGTAGTCGGCTTCGAGTTTTAATGCTCGTTCGTACATTTCCTTGGCGGCCTTGGCCGATATTTTATCAATGCCAAAATCACGTATTTCACGTATTTGTTTGGCCGATTTAAAACGTAAGAGCAAAACGATCGGGTAGATTTGTAGACGCTGAAGACGTTCAACAGCCGAGGGGGATATGTCTAAGATGCAGTGACGACGATCCTTTAAGGGGACGGGGAAAAATTACAGCAATTGCGAGATTTAGGTAACAAAAAGTTGAAACTGTGTATTATTGTTGTTGTGGTAGAAGATTTTCAAAATTTTGTTGTAGTGGCAAAGACAAGTTACATAGAATAAGTCGTTAAGCTCTGATTGACAGTTTGTATTTTGAGGTTATGTTACCAAAATGTATCGATAGTGTCTAAGAGTGAGTATTAGTGGTGAATTTAGATTGATTGTTAACGTTTCGAGCAGGTTAGACATAGAATAATAGAGTATGTGATATGCAAATTATACGGCAACAGATTTTTCCACAAACTTATACTTTTTACATCGTTACAACAATAATTTTAGAATAAATTTGTGGTGAGTTTGAGGAGTATATAAAGAATTGGTGAATTTCCAAGTAAATTCCTGCGTTACTCCCAAAAAAGATGTCCAATTGTTTTACACTATTACAACAAAGTCACCACAACAATTTTTTTTCACAGTTTCACAACTGCAAAGCATAGCTACTCACATTCTTGCATGCATTATTTATATTCTCCACCGTTGTACACTCGAATTTATTGCCACGACGGCGATAGTCAACGAAAATATTTTCCTGTAAACCCTCTTCCATGGCATTCTGTGAGCAATCCATTGTAGTCACTTCGCACATTTTGAATAAATTCGAAAAATCAATAGTCAAACGTTCCATAACACGCTCCGATAGCGGACCGATTATAAGCACCGGCCGACGTACAGGTGCTACAACGTAATATAAATGAAAATGAATATAATAAATTAAAAAAACAGTTTAGCACTTTCAATGCTAATTAATAAACCGCGCTACTCACAATCCAATCGTTCAACACGCTGATAGCTCAATATGCCACCGTCATCATTCAATATACCCGAGTCAGGAAAGAAGCTTAGCTGTGTGTTGCTGAAACTGGCAATTTCGGTGGAGTCACGCGATGAGCTACGCTGGTGCTTTTTTCGACGAAAAAACGAACGACGCGCCGATGTGCTGCCACGTCGCGCTGTGCCGCCCTCACAGTCGACCACTTCGCCAGCGCGCAGCTCTTCCTCCACTCTAAAAGCAAGCACGTGGCAATTGCAAAATTAGTATTTAAAAAAAAATTAATAATAAAGAAATTTAGAAATATTGATATTTGAAGCAACGTTGACATACTTCATTTGACTCGGTATAATGCCGCACTCCTTGCGGTGACCTTTTGCATCCAATTTCCAAGCACGCCACAAGCCGAATGTACCATTGAAAACCGTATTGTCCACATAGAGCACCTCATCCTTGACGAAACGCAAGTCGCCATCATTCAGCTCGCCGGTACGATCGAAACCGACGCGTATATAAAAGGAATCGCCTGTCTTGTCTTTAATTTGCTTTAATTCTGTTAGGAATTTGTGGCATGTGTTAGAATATAGAAATTTCTGTGCGCTTAAAACTCTACAATTTATTCACTCACTTTTCAATTTATTCTGCACCAACAAGGTGACAGTATCCGTGAGCTTAGATATCTCATTGGCCGCCTGCTCGGCCGTTACACAACGCAAGTCTACGCCATTGTATTCCAATATCTGATCACCTTTGCGTATGCCAGCGATATCGGACGGTGAACCAGGGTGTACATCATGCACGAAGATGCCCACCTTGTTGCCACCGAATAGTTTGATGCCCAAATTTTTCGATTTATCCATGCATAAGGTGACATAGCGCGCCTCCTCCTCGTACACAGTCGATGTGGTCGAGGCTGTAGTGGTAGTTGTAGCCGCTGAGGAGGGCAAATCCTGACTGCTGCTTATGTCCGATTGATTTTCCAGACTATCGGCAAAACTCTGATCCTTGATCGATTGTGTTGAGATCAATGAACTCGATTGTGGCATTATGTTCGACTGTTGTGCCAAGGGATTGTTGGTAGGTGCCGAGATTGGTAGAGGTGGTAATGAGGACATCATGGTGCGTACCGGTGGTCGTGGTGAATTGCGAGGTGTGGGCGAGCCAGAGTGATTAACTGGAGATTCAGTCTCGAGATTATTGGTGCCGTCGTATTCGCCAGAGTGAAATTCTTGTATGTAAAAATTTGTTAAAAAATATGTGTATGTGGGATTTCAGAAAAACAGTGTGGCACGATCAAGTAAATATTGAAAGTAAAAAATTTGGAACACTTGCTTTCACAAAACACTTGTAAAAAATTTTTAGTTTTTTCTAATACTTATTAATTTTTGAAAATATAAAAAGCAAAATGTTGAAAAAGTACTCTGATTCTTTAACAATCACGTTGAAAAAAATAAATTTAATTTCTAAAAATTCGAATTTAAAAAAACTCATTACCAAAGTACTTATAAATCACTGATCTTCAGAAAATATTAGAGTAAAAATTAAGGCATAACTAGTGTGAGCAGATAAAAATGTTGCTCAACTGTACAATCATGAATAGTTAAAAATCATCAATCCAAAAAATTAAAAAATTTGTTTATAACGGTAAAAACGAATAACAACGATCGGAAACGTAATTTGAAATTTACGATGATCGTATAAAACGATAAAGCATGTCGAAAAAAACTGTTGAAATTTTACTTAATAATTTGAAAATGTATGCGTGATAAATTTTGAGAGATTTGTAAAAAAAATGTAGTATAATATAATGAAAACCTGCCTGCAAATGATCAACGCACACACAAGTAGTTTTTTTACGCAATGAATTTGTATACTCACTTTCCGGATTGTACTGCACCAGCATGGTTATCGAGTTGCCGCATTGACGTAACACATTCGCCGCAATGTCATTTGTAGCCGATCGCATATTTATGCCGCAAACTTCTAAGAGTTGATCGCCCACCTGAAGACCAGCACGCGTGGCTATGCTCTTATCGGCTACAGTCGATACAAAGATGCCGCCACCATTGTTATTGCATTGTATGGTAATGCCGAGCGATTTGTCGCTCTTCTCGATCGTGACTCTTCTAAGGTCTCCAGGGCATAAAAAATCCGACGGCGCATTCGAATTACGCTTACTACCGCCATGACTCAACACTTCGACATGCACTTGCGGCATCGGCGAACCGCGTCCGCTACCGCCACCATTCGCTGCGACCGCAGCAATTGCTGAATGATGCATTAGCATCGATGGTGGCGGACCGGACATGCTTACGCCACAATAGTGATGATCAATTGAACCGGAACTGTTCTTAACGCCTGCACTATTCTTACTCGCCACACTCGGATTGGATGGTATGCGCAAGCGTTGATGCTCCTTTTTGCGTGGAAATGTGCCACCTTCGTAGATGATGCCGCCAGCACCGCCACCGGGCATACCGCCACTGCTGTGTGGATGATGATAGTGCGTCGAAAGCGGGTAATCTTGCACGTATTGCGAATGCATTGGCAAACCGGGCGTCATAAAGTCCATATCGAATTTGTCCACTGAGCTGGTGGGTATGCCAATCGCGCTACTAGCTGCCGTATCTACGCTGCCGTGTTGTGACTGCTGCGTGGACGTGTGCGAATGCGGTCCGTGTGAGTGCGGATGCGTGTGTAGTGGCGGTGAGGAGGGCAATGTTAGCGGACTAGAGTGGCGTATTTGACGCATTGCATTTATGGAATTTTGCGTGAATGTCGGAAAGAGCTGTGAGTGGCGATTGTGCATTGGCGCGGACATGTTATTCGAATGGAAAAGTACGCTGTTGACGCCGATACCGCCACCAACACCAGCACCAGCACCACCGCCAACATGCATGCCGCCACCGCCAACACTGGCGCTCATAATGCCCGAGGCAATACTCTCGCTGTCACTTGGATACTTGGAGACATTCTTGTTAGCTACCGCTTGCGGCATTGGTATGCCACGCTTTTGATAATGATTGATTGTCGCACATTCACTGTTAGGCGGACTCTTCGCCGACAATATGGAATCGATGGAGTTTTGCGACTTAATCGAGATCATGTCCAATGAATTCTGCTGTGTTGTGGAGGAGCTGCGCGCAAAACTCGGCGGATGGAGATTCAGTGGTGTGAAGAGCGCCGGATGTGGCTGTGATTTGCTAGAGTTAACGCTTGTAGGCATGCCAACACCGCCCATACCCGTATTACCGCTGTTCAACATATCGAAAATGTGCGGTTTGCGTGGCAGAAACTCTGCACCGGTGCCGCTATGTATGACCTGTTGCTGCGCCTGTTGGCCGCTGGTCTTGTAGAACTCCGTCGGCGTTATGTTGAGCGAGTAGCGATTTTGATAGTTGTGCGCACGCTGATTGCCATACTTGTCCGGTACGGGTGGCATTTTCACACGCATATTCGCACCCAATATGGGCGCCGGTCGTTTTAATAGTTTTGTCGGTTCGCCCAATAGACCCACATTGTCTATTTGTGGCTCCGCATACACAGAATGTCTGTAGTTGGCATAAATATTATTGCTATTAACATTGCCGCCGTTCACGTTCGGCATCGCCGATGTACCGGGTGTGGGGCTGAAGAGCGCCGAGGCGGGTATGGGATTGGAATTGCGATGCGGGTTGGTTTTGATGGCTTGCCCTGCACCGGTTATACCGTTACGCATATGCGCTTGCGGTTTAGCTTGCGGCGGCAACGGTGGCGGCTGCTCATCGGATATCTCGCGCTCATCCACCTTGTCGACATTTATCGGACCGGCTGTGAAGAGTGCAAGTGGTGGTCGCTTTTTCTCGCGCTGCTGCACTATGGTGCCTGTGGGATTCTCATGCGTGGCATTGAGTATATTAGCACGTGGCCAAGTACCCATACTCTTGGCAGCCGCTTCCTTTTCCTTTTTGCTGCGCTTACCACGTCGTGGTTTCTCCGACGAATTTTCGCTTAACACCGAATCCAACTCGGCGAGCGCATCATGCTCTTGCGTGAAGTGATCAACATCTGTGCCCGGCTTCGAGATATGTATCTTCTTGAAGATGCTTAACATTTCCGAAAATTTCGAAGGATGTTTGGCGCTCGTCATGCGATGCATTGAATCAATGGAATCGGTTTGCGCCGACGAGGTGGTCATGCGTCGCTGTCCATCGCCATAACCCATATCCTGTACATTCTTTAATGCGAAGATGGTAATAGCGTCGTTGCGCTCATCGTTCAGCAAACCCATCACATCGTCGACGGAGTGTATGCCTTCCATTGATTTATTATTAATACTCAACACACGATCGCCCACATCCAATTCGGGCTCGTAGGCAGCTAACGAGTTTGGTTCGATTTTCGAAATAAAAACGCCTGTGTCCAGACTCAAACCATGATTCATATTGTTTTGCATATTCAAATGCACCGTGTAGAAATGTCGTTTGCTGTGGCGCGTGCGCGACACCAACAACTTACAACGCGGCGCACTACTACGTATTTCGTCCAGCACCATGCGCTTTGTCATGGTCTGACAATCTAGATTATTCACCTTACAGATGACATCATTCATTTTCAATTTGCCAAAAGCGGGCGAACTATTGGTGACGCCACACACCAATTGCCGATTGTTGCTGTCATCCAAAATGATGCCGATATCACTATCGGAATGATAGTTCAACTCAATATCGAGCAGATCTTCGGCCTCGTAGGTGCTCATGCGAAAGCTGCGTCGCGACGAGCTATCAATATTCTGATTTTCAATTTGCTCTTTCAATACGTCGATTTTCTTTTGCGCTTCATCCTTTTGCTTCTTTATTTTCTCGCTATCGCGTATGGCCGAGAGCAGATCAGAGATTGCCTTGTCGCGTTCTTTGCGCAAATTATCGCAGAGCGATTTTACCGAATCGCGCTCCTGCACGATTTTCTCACGCTGCGAAATGGCCCAATCGCGTACGCCCTTTGCCTGTTCGGCATCCTGCAGCGCGCGCTCCACCTCCGAGTTGGCTTTCTCGAGGCTTTTACGCAACTTTTCCACCTCCTTAAAATCATCTTTGCTATCGGAAAATTCCTTTGACCACGAATTGGACTTGAGCAAATCGCGCTTTTGCAATTCGGCATTGACCTGATGCAACTCATTGATCTCCGCCTGATATATTAAGTCATTCTTCTTGTAATTCTCAATTTCTTTTTTGGCAGCCGATAGGTCGTCGAACATTTTCTGATGCTCATGCAATACATTGTCCTTTTCGGAAAGCAGCTGTTTGAGCTCCTCATCGATGCGATTGCGTTCGACCGTTATGAGTAGCACTTTCTTGGACTCCTCGGAGAGTAGTGATTTCAACTTTTGTATCTCCTTTTCCATTGTGTCACGCATTAAATTGAAATGCTCACGCGATTCACGATAGAAATTGCGTTCCTTCTTCACATTGTCCAACTCGGCAAATGTTGAGTTGAAACTCTTTTTATACTTTTCACGTTCGGCAATAATTAATTTGCGTTCATTCACCAATTCTGAGTTGTGCTCTTTACATAAATCCAACTCCTCCAGCAACTTTTCACTTTGCTGCAACAATTTTTCATTATCAGCACCACGTCCCACCGCCACGTCGCTATAATAGTACGCATTCGCCGCTGCATTAGCCGACTTATTGCCATTCTCATTTTCCAAACGTATCAGCTGACGCTCCAGTTTTGTATTCTGCTGCTTGAGACGCGCATTCTCCGCCATAACATCGATAAATTTATTACGTTCACTGCTCTCCAATTGCGCCATGGCATTCACATATTGCTCCTGATAATAGCCCACCTGATCGCGCAACTCTTCACAACGACACAATGCATCGGCACGCTGATGTCGCATCTGACTTATTTCCATGAATGCCGGACTATACGGCGACGATTTGATCACCTCGTATTGTGTGCCATTCGAAACATTGGCGTTGTTTACATTGCCGCCACCGCCAGCGGTGTTGCCACTAACAACGCCGCTGCCACCACCGCTACTGTTACCGCTGCTTTGTCCATTATTGTTGGCCAAATTGGCCGCATTTGTGTTGGCACTCGAATTCAATGTGGGACGCAGCGTACGGTCATAACCGACATACTCGGGACTTTCTTCTGCAGACATAAATAAATTGAAATGGTGATTTTAAGCGTTTTTTTTTTTTGTTTTTTGTTCTTGCTTTACATTGCAGAAATCAAATGTTACTAACCTTCTTGGCTACTCGTACTCGTTAAAGAGAGATCTCCAGATGCCATCTTCGCCATCACACCATTTTCTCAAGTCACAAGGGTCACTTTTAAAATACACTGATGATTTGAAGAGTGTAAATGTTTATTGCTTTTTTTTGTTTTTGTTTTTTTGTTAAATTTACTGCTATAATATAATAAATGTTTGCGCAAACTTGTAAGAAATTAATGCACCAGTTGTGAGTTTTTAAAGAAAAGATAACAGCATTCACAGCAATTAGCACAAGCAAGCGTTGAGAGTAAAAATAATAAGCTATAGCAGTTAGGTTAGGTTAGATGACTGATCTGACAAGAAGGCAGGCGATCATAGCAGTTAGAAAAACATCAAAATTTTGATTTTTTACAGATGAAATTTAATAAAAAATTATCGCATTTAACAAATTGAATGTACAAAGTTCACAAATCATACACACCACACACACATTCCACAAGTATGCCGATATTCGTGCATTACCATGCCAAATAGTCGTTGACTAAAATACTCTTTAGACCCAAACGGATACGGGTCGCTTAATTTGTGATACTTAAGTAAATTTAACGCACAGTGATAAGAAAAACTGATTTATGATTTAAATTTACTAACAACAAGAAAAAACGTTAACTTCAGCTGCAACGAAGCTATAACACCCTTCACAAATAAAAATAATTTGATTTTGATTGGTGAGTTTGTATGGCACCTATATGCTTTTGTGGTCCGAACTGAGCAATTTCTTCGGAGATTGTAATTTTGCCTTGCGAAATAATACATGCTAAATTTCGTGAAGATATTTTGTGAAATAAAAAAGTTTTCCCTATAAGAACTTGAGTTTGAGCGTTCAGTTTATATGGCAGCTATATGCAATCGTTGTTACCGTTTTTGGTGAGAACAGGACACGTGAAAAATTGCAGATCGATATCTCAAAAACTGAGGAACAATTTCGCGTATATAGAGACGGACATCGCTAAATTGACTCAACTCGCCACGCTGATCATTTATTTATACATTTTATAGAGGCAGCGACGTTTTCTTCTTGTTGATATAAACTTCGTGTTAAACTTAGTAAACCCTGTGCAGGGTATAACTAGTAATACATATTATTGTATAATACTCGAAATCACTCAATTAGCGATTGTCATTAACTTAAATTAACAAACCCTTTATAACGCACTTGTTAGTGTTCAAATAAGTTAGTACGTGTGCATGTATATATATTAATGTATGTATGTATATGAAAAAAAATTAAAAATATTTAACACCTTTTGTACTACGCACTGCAACAATAAAAATAACAAAAATATGAATCCAAAACCAAGATATGATAAGTTATCTACATGCATACTAGTGCAAGCAGCGCCAGCTCAAGTAGTAGAAAATAAGCACTTACATATTGTACATACATACATACATACATACATATATGCATACAAATGTTTATATTTTAGCTGAAAGTTAAGAAAATGTATAAAACATTCATTGACTTTTCTTGAACTGAATACCAACACATACATACTTACATTCATAAATGCTATATAAGATATAAGTTAAAATATAAAATGATAAGAGAAACAAGCTCACAAAGTCGGCGTAGGAAGTTGAGTCAGTATGTAATGATGAAACAAAACTCTTGGCTGCACGGTAATTGTGTTGGTGACTGCCCACCTCAAATTTGCTCACGCCAAAAGTACACCATGCGTAATTACAGTTACTAAAAATAATTATTAAAGCACAAAAAGGCGTTGCTGGCAGTATTTGTCTACTACCACAAATAAAATATTATGTCAAAATTTTGTAATTCTAACATTACTCGTATTTAATGCAAGACCTTTGAATTTCACTGAAAGCGAGAGGAAATTTTTGTTGGAATTAGAAAACACGTAAACAGCTGGAACATGAAATAGTGGAAGTACTTCTGTTCTATTTCCGTGTGGTAAGTCTGTAATTCTAGTTAAGCATTATTGAAAAAGCGATTAATATGCAAATTAATTAATTTCCAGGCGTTCTAGGAAGTTTCAACAAGTTCCATCACATTGTTGTTATGAATGGAGCAAAACTAAGTATCACATACAAATGCACTGAATCACTAAAATTTCTGCACAAAATATATGTACATATTATGTCATTTAAACCGTTGAATTTCAAAATTTTACCAAAATTTATAAACTGTATGAAAGAAAAAAAATTAAAATAAAAACTTTCTACTTCACTATATGCCTTACACACTGAACACATTTTCTAATTTATATTACAAAATTTTGCAATCATTGCTGAGCGCAACTTGTTTCAAAATAGAAGAAAAAATCGCTAATATGCCGTTGACATTGTTGCGTTTCAATACGATTTTTTATGATTGGACAAGGTCGTATGCAAATTTTGTCGACGATTAGACTTATAAGAAATACAATATATTCATAGAAAATAAACTTATCGCTTTTATTTTGGTTGAAACATTATTGCAAAATAATGCTTTTTATTATTTTTATACATAAAGCTAAAATAAACACACATTTATACATACACATATAGAAATTATACAGGCATACACGAATATATAGCAATCGTAAGGAAATGACGAGTTGACGAGAAACCCGCAAACTTAAGCGAGCAGGCAAATTAAAAATAAATTATTAATTTAGTTTATTTATTTCAAGCCGCTGCCAAAGCAACAACAAAACAATAGCTTTAATTATTATGATTATTGCCGCGGTTTGGGTGTTTTTTTATTTGTTTTTTTTTTTTTGGTTGCTGCTTTAGAGGCAAATGAACTGAGGCAATGCTCAACAACATAAAGCACAGCAAAAACAAAACATTGCGGTCGCGGCAGCCGACGCCAATATCGTGTATGAAAAGCGGCTTAAATCCGGGTAACTTGTTGAAGACACAACACAAAACAACAACAATAAAATATCGTATAGCCAATATCAGAGTGGAAGTTATAGATGTTGGTAGTGTTGACCACAAACACGGCGAACAGGATGAATGACGACAACGATGATTAAGGTGACCGTTTCGCACGCCCCAAGTTTTAATGCGATCACAAAACTTAGCCGAAACTTGCACAAAGTAGAACACGCAATAAACCAAAAATTTAAAATAAGAAATAAAAAAATGCCACGAAATTACATATACATATGTATGTATGAATGAAGCAACTTATTTTCAAATGTTCCGAATCTTTACATTTCACAATGAAAATAGTGAAGTAAATAGCCAAACCAACAACGCGAGTAATAACCAGTAATAATTCACCGGTCTGAAATCTTTGCAACTAACCAGTTAGCAGAGCCACCACCAGTAACTCACCCAAGCACACAAAAAAAAACCAAAAACAAAAAAAAACACAAAACATTAACAGCGAATAACAACAACGAACAGATAAAGCAAAAGCAAAAACAAATAACTACCTGTGGTACTCCGGCGTACGGACGGTAATGTAAAGAAGCACAACTGTTGCGCGCACAATACACAATGGTTGAATGATTTGAATGGAGCAACTCTCGCGTAATTAGCAAAAATCGAGGTGAACACATACATAAATACAAACGTACTATATATATATATTTCAATATATATATATCGTAGATTTCATACTAATTAGTATTTGAACGGTATTGTTACGTACATCTACATATCTATGCACTGGGTAGGGTGGTTAGTAATAAGATGACGAAGCGCTGCATGTGGCGCAGCGCACACAACTGGAGTTTGTGAATCGGAATAATATATGCAGTGCAATTGCTGATGTACATATGTAAATATGTGCATTATGACTGCAGACAGCAGACTTACTTGAATAATTTTAACGTTCAACGCCTCTTTTAATTGAGTTTTATTTACAATTCGCTATTGGTTAAAATTATGCTTGAGGGAAAGCTTTGTGCACCAAAATATATGTAAAATTTGGTATGATGAGATTAGTGCAGCTTAAATTAATACCAACTAAAAATTTTACCATATACATATGTATGTTTGTACATATATTTTAATATTAGTTGAGGCATACTTGTGAAAACGTAGTAGTAACTTAAGTCTAAAGGCTAATGTCAACCCAAAATATCAAGTCATTCGACGGCATTAAACCTCTACACTTTCTAATTAACAGGATTAACAGCAATATATATGATACATACCTTTTATGTAGGTGTCCTTTTTACACTACGCTGCACTTTGGAGAAAGAAAATATCGCCTTTCACTTTGTGCTCTTTCAAAGCGAGCCTACACTGCTAAAGACTGTCGCTAGCGCTGACGTTTACTGCTGTCTACTGTTGCTGTTGCTGCTGCCGTTGCTTTTATTTTGTTGTTGTTATTGTTGGTATTGTTGCTGTGATTGTAGTTGTTACTGTAATCTTCTTCTACGCTTCTCTACTTTTATATTTTATTTTTCTTTATTTTTTCACAATTTGATTAACGCCCATTTTTCTCACAGATTTTTAATTAAATATAACAATTATTAGCATTAGATTTTATATAATTCATACACTTTATCGCTTTATTTTCGATTTGCACTAATTTTCATGCGCGAATTTCACATATTTTCCAATAATAAGGCACTTTAATATTTTTTCAGCAGAGAAGGTGAAATTTTTTATCGCAACGTACAAAAGCAGGGAAGTAATAAAATAAAAAAGATCCAGCGGACCGATGATGACAGATTCCCAGTATTCGGTTTTTTGACAAATGATCGGGAAATACTGGCAAATTGGGTTAAATGCTAAGACACGTCAAACGGACAGGGTAGTACGGTGGATATGAAACTTTTCGAAAAATGAAGATAGTGTTTGTAGAGTGTAAGCAATATTAAAAATGTGTGGTGATACATAGATTCTTAAGAAACATTTGTTATATAACCGCATGTTATATGTGAATATCACACAAATAAATCAACAAACTCTATACATGACGAAAATTTTAAAAGTGTATATAAAACTTGTAGCTATATTTATTTTTAATATTGTAGCCAGTCAACCCTGTTTCATTATGACATTTTTTTCTTCGCCCACAACTTCGTAGCAACTGACAGCTGTCAGAAGGTATTGCTCATTCGCCCACCTCTACTTGAAAAAAAAACAAGGCCTATCAAACGTTTTAATACACACGAAATCCCTATAATATTTAGTTTAAAAATAACTAAATTTTTTATATTCCACCTAAATTGTTTTGTAACATAATCTGATCAAGTGTTTACTAAACGAAATTGAACTGAACCTAATAAAAATATATGTAGGTGAATTGCCACAATAGGGCCAAGTTGAAAGTGAGGCAAAAGCTCGGAAAAAGAAGCAGAAGCAAAGGGAGATAACGACGAAGTACCGGAGCAGCCAAAATGGTGAGTAATGCATTTTGATACTTTAATATCTATACTGGATATTGCGAAATGTTCTCCTAATCAAGTGCATAACCTTGATTTAAATTTACGATATATTTTAAAACAAGTCTTGAAGGTGTGCCGGTGCAATGCGTGTATTAAGCAGTGGGCAGGCGCAATAGTACTACAAGTAAAAACCATGCCCATATATGGTAATCGTACCTGCTATTGTTGTGGTTGTTGTTGTTGTTAAAACCACGGCTTTTGTTATTCATAACAAAATCGGTAGCAATACTTGTTAACTTTATAATAACCTCACTAAATCAAAATATTAGTTTTGTTAGTCGCATTTTAGCACTTTCACGATTTGCTAATTTTATAGTGAAATTTTTGTTGTAAGATAGTAAAAATGTAATAACCATGTTCGTCTCATTGTTAAGCACCTTTTGCCTCTTTCAGTCGGACGTACAAATGGACAGTGCACTTGATTTGATGCGTCGCCTGCCACCACAACAAATCGAAAAGAATCTGATAGATCTGATTGATTTGGCGCCAGAATTGTGTGAGGATCTACTCTCATCTGTGGATCAACCGCTTAAAATAGCAAAAGATAAGGAGCATAATAAAGATTACCTGCTGTGCGATTACAACCGTGATGGCGATTCGTATCGATCGCCGTGGTCCAACACTTACTACCCGCCACTAGAGGACGGACAAATGCCGTCAGATCGTTTACGTAAATTGGAAATAGAAGCTAACTATGCCTTTGATCAATATCGTGAAATGTATTATGAAGGCGGTGTATCTTCAGTGTATTTGTGGGACTTGGAGCATGGTTTCGCAGCGGTAGTTTTAATTAAAAAGGCCGGCGATGGCAATAAAAAGATACGCGGCTGCTGGGATTCTATACATGTCGTTGAAGTACAAGAAAAACCTACGGGGCGAACGGCACATTACAAACTAACATCCACGGCTATGTTATGGCTACAAACGAACAAACAAGGTTCTGGCACAATGAATTTGGGCGGCTCATTGACACGTCAAACGGAGCAAGATGCTAATGTCAGTGAATCTTCGCCGCATATTGTAAACATTGGCAAAATGGTCGAAGAAATGGAGAATAAAATACGCAATACGCTTAATGAAATATATTTTGGTAAAACGAAAGACATTATAAACGGTTTACGTAGCGTACAGCCATTAGCCGATCAACGACAGGAGGTAGCCATGAAACAGGACTTGGCTGCGGCAATACTAAAACGTAATGTAAAACCAGAATCGAATTGAGGTGCATGTGTGTAATGGGGGAGTATGACATTGGCGTTTGCAATATACATACATACAACATATACATATATATAGTTCAAGTTGCAGCAGAAAACGAAAATAATGGCGCAATAGCAAACGAAAGGATTGAGTAAACGGCAAATTAGTGTAGATGAAGTGTGCTTAGCAGGCACCGTCTGCATAAAACCACATAGATGCAATTCTTTTAATTCAAAAATAATTATAACAATTATAGTAAACACACAAAAAGGAAACGAAAAAACACAAATTCTATGCAATTATATCAAATTCCATTAAAAAAGAAATAATCCAAACTAAGTTTTAAATGCCTAATAAGACAATGAAAATTTAAGCAACAGTCATAATGCGTGCGTGCAACAGTAAGCGCTAAACTTACATACGTGGGCGACTACTTTCACTAGCAACTTGGCAAAAAAAAAGTGAATTTTATAGCCATGAAAGTTTTAAAATCACATTTTTGAGTGTGGCGCCTACTTGCATGCGCATGCTGTTATACAAATTATAATTATAATAAATTTACCGCATCGAAATATAATGGAAAAAACATACCAATAACACGTAAACTAAAGCATTTGCATTATTGTTCAGTAGTGGTGATTTTTTAGTAAAACAATTTAAATGTAGCAATTGTTAAAGTTGTTGAAATAATTTGAAGACAAATTGAAACTAAATATTAAACACAAAGTGATCGAGAGTAAAGTTTGGTAAGCGAGCTACATGTGTAATTAATTATTAGTGAATATACAAAATAATGTATTGTAATATCACTACCAAACGAAAACGTTTAATTTATATGTATACGTATGTCCCAATAAAAGTAAACAAAGTATGTACATACATATGTATGTAATGCGCCACAATCTGATTGTCATTTAAATTGCAAAAACCAAAAACGAAAAGAACAAAGCGAACAAAGCTTAACGATAGCACTTCTTGTCAATTGTTTGTACTCTCCCCCCGCCTTCTACCCACGTGATTGCCTATTTTGTATTGTTTATTTTTTCTCTCAGTTACTATAATTATTATTTTTTTTTTCTCTCTGTCAACGTTAATAAATATAAAAAATTATTAATATTTAAGTTACACTGCATGTATGTGTGTATTTAGAACTTTGAACAACAGCTGATTTATCAATAATTTTAAATAAGAAGAATATATTTACATGCATACATAAATTTAAAAAAAAAAAAAACAAAAAAAAAACGAAACGATAAAATATTTAAATAAAAAAAATCAAACAATTGATTTGTGTATTTACAGTTATAAGTTTATGCATTAGCTGCAATAAAATTAACGCTATTTCTACTATTATAAATATACTACTGTTTACGTATTGTGCTTACACATGCATACATATATACATACATACATACTTTGCTTTATTACACTGCTCTGTATTTATAACGAAACAAACCGACAACAACTCAGCTGAAATGTCTAGTTTCGAGTGTATTAATTTGTATTTGATTTAATTAAAAACCGCAAAACAAATGTGCAAAATTTTATACAAGACACTAATAAAACAAACAAAAAAATTCAAAAAATAAAAATTAATTATATTTTTTAGTATACTTACCTGCGTCAGCAGGGTGTGTAAAATTGAATGGGCATACACTTTTTTCGACTCTTCAGTAAATTATCTACTTTTGAACTCATTATCGAATCTTGTACCTACATATATATGTACGTATGCTATCGAAAAGATTTAACCGATGTAAGATCTAAGGATCGTAGCACTAACAAAGTCTGGATTTTGTAGCTAATAAAGCGCAGGTAGGCTGGCAGATGTACCAGCAGAATTGTGCACCGTTTATGAAAGCTGGTAAATTTTTTTAATTTATTTGTTTTTTGCTGTCGATTTAATATTGCTGTATCGAATCTTATTTTGGGTCCGTTCTAGCTACGTAGTCTTCACTGTGCTGAGCACAGCTTAAAAAATTATTCATTGTTCAATCGCTTCGTTTATTTACAACTGCGCCGAACAGCTGTTTTCTATATTTGTTTGTGGACCACATGTGTATTTGTTAAAATGTTTCAATACAATATTGTTTTTGCGATGTTGTATTTTTACTAACTTGTCACTAATTCACGGAAAGTTGTTGTTTTCTGCAATTTTGACTTTTGTTGCAACTAGCGACTTTACTACCAGAACTTCAATACAGTTATTCGCTTCATATTTATAAGTGACATGTGCTAAGATAAATGACAGTTTGTTTTGGTACTATTTATACATACATATGTATGTATTGTTTTTATTATTTATTCTCGGTTGTTAAAATAATTCAGCTTGACTACAGTTTATTAAAATGATAATTTTTCTTATAGCAAAAATATGTGTTTTTAAGTGTAGCGTTAAACTTATTTATGCAAACGTATAAATTATTTAGGTTTATTTTAGTTATTAGAAAAAAACAAATTGCAGACATTTTAAATTTTATGTTGTATAGAACATCAGTTGAGAAGAAAGCTGACTTTAGTTGGCGAGTTTTTCTATTTTCTATTTTATTTTGTTTGCAAATATTTATAAATCTTTTCCAGCACACTAATTAGATATATCATATAATATTTAAAATATGATTTAGTTGAAAAATTAAAAAAAAAATATATAATAATTACATAACTCTTAACTATGTATATACAACAATACTTATGTGTATGCTTGCAGTTATGAATGTGTTGGTTAATAATGGCCCTCGAATTGTTAATTACAATGAATTATTTATTACTACATACATACATATATAATATCTGTATGTAAATATGTGGTTTTTTTTTGCGGTGTGTTTATTAACTAGAAACAAATGTAATGACGCAGCACATTACTGTTATCTACAACTTACAAATTAATTGTTATTAATGATTTAATAAGCGTTTACATCTAAATAGTACACGTATAAAATGTGGTTTTCATAAATATTTTACAAGTTGCTCATATTTTTTGCTTGTTTGCGTCAAAAAATTTGTGTACAAATTAAAATTATTGTTTTTCTTATGAATTGGATTTTTCTTGCTAGTTTTTGAGGAATACACATTTGTTGAAAACAAACTACTTATTTAGAATAAACCAATAAATAAATCATTTCCAAAATACTTGACCTGTGTGAAGAAGCAATTTTTATAATAAAACCAAAAAACCCACAAAAAAAAAAACAAACAAAAAATATGCAACTTATTATTAGTTTAGAATTAGTGTAAACTTAAATTAGTTAATTTGTGCAAATTTAAGACATATTTTAGCTGCTTATAACTTTCACTTAAATCAAACAAAAATTTCATTTTCGCGCAATTAAAATATAATCAATAATAAAAATTAAACAAGAAAATAATGTAGCATTTACAATGCATATGTGATAGCTGATATAAAATATATATACATGTATATTAATGTATGTATATAAGCAAGCAAATTATACTGGTAATCACAAATTAACATTTTCTTCTGCTCTCTTGTTAGGTGTATGTGTGTGTGTTGTTGTTAGTACTTATATATAAATAGTTTTAAATGTTTTGGTTTCTTTTTTTCGCGCTTACTATATAGTCTAGCTTTATTGCATTTTCGAAACTTCGAATTTCGTATTGATGATTTCTTCATCCGAATCTAAAATCGGCAACGCAGGATCGGCCATTGATGATGGTATATTCTCTTCCACCCAGCGTAGATCATCCTCTTCGGTCGTTGTGCCGCGCTGTGCATTTGGTGGCGTTTTAGTGCCGCCATTTGCATGTGAATTGCGCATTTTTACACCATACGCATCGGCGACGAATTGATCTTCTTCTGCGGGGGGAGGGTGGAAAAAAAAATAATAATGTAGTGTATATATAATTTAGCATATTATAAAAAACCGAAATCTTTTCGGCTCTTCTCTCCAAAGTAACTAGTTAAAATAAAACTGCAACAATAATAATACTTACCATCATCGTCCTCATCGTCGGGTGCATCGAGCAGCGGTGTAAATGCATAGCGTTGATTATTATTTGTGGGACGCCACAAAATCATAATAACCAGCAATAATACCGAAAACAGCACATGCCAGAAAGCGGCATCGAACCAAATATTGCGCCAAACCTATTTAGGGAAAAAATATGTATATATTATTCATTTAACTTGTATTTATTGTTATTATTCATTATGCACTCACTGGTGTACAGTTCTGTGACTTGCGCATATGCAGTGCATACAACATAAATAGCACTGATGCAAGCACCGAAAATATCAGTGTGTTTGTGAAGTGTCTGTACAACGACAGTTTCACCATATTTCTGCAATAAGAAAAAATATAATAAAAATAAAAGAAAAAAACAATAACAAGAAATAAGTTATGCTAATTAACACACTTGAAAGCGCTAATTTGCTGTTGCAACATATAAACACACAACACACCTTCTTAAGCGCAACGTTCTGGTGGTCTGCACCAGCGATGTGAATATCCACCAGCAGATGCCTGTGTCCAGCACAGCCAACGGTATGGCGGCCACCAACTGTTCATCGGTTTTCGTGCTAGTCACACGCAAGTAACTTTCAACGCAAGCCAAGACAAAGTATAGCGCGCCAACGCCAACCACGCGATGAAGCATTGGACCCAAACGAGGTCTGCATACGAAAACGAGAGCATACATTAATAATAAATAAACTTAAAAGATTGTGAAATTAAACACAAGTGTTTTGATGAACAGCGTAATTTTTAGGCATATTTACACAAGTGTACAAATTTTGTTTATATTTGATAATATCATAAACATTTATGTATGTATATACATTTGTGTGCACTCACTTGACAATACCGAAACCCAGACTCATTATGATGACCAGCATGCGTGCCAGTGTGCGTTTGGCGCAGGAAACAAATTCTGCCATCAATTCGGCGCCCTCAACCGGTATACCTGTAGCATTGAGGCTATAGTATTGTGCATAGAAGAATGCTTTCTCCAGCATGCCAAGCAATATGACGCCACCAATCCAGAATTGTATGCGCAATAGGTCACGCCATTGCATGAATGATACAAAGAGCCAGATAATGCCGAAAATTACATAGACAACGCACATTATGCCGTAGAACTGTTAACATAATAGAAATAAAAAATGTTTTTCAAAAAATATTATTATTTTATGTATATAGAACGGTGTTTGACTTACCGCCAAGAGCGGATGATCAATCGCGGAAAGGTAGCCGCCATCAGGTCCAACAATATCCAGTTGTACGTGCGCGGCAAAATCTACGGGTTCGGCACTTTTGACAGCTTCAATTTTCAATGTCAATTCATATATGCCATCTCTGCCAATGGTGATGATATTTTTATCTAATGGCTGATATAATTCAAAAATATTATTATAATGGTATTGATATACATAGTGAATTTTTAAAACAGCGTACGTTTTATGGTAAACTCATTAGAAAGTTTATGATTTCGTATAAAAAATTTGATTCTAATTCCACAAATTTGACAATTTTGATAAAATTGAAAATTAATTAAAAATAAATTTTATGTAACCACTTCAAATGTGCGCGTATTTAAACGTAATGTAATTTTAACATTTCACAAGTAAACAAAATTTTTTATGTACACGAATACAAAGTTTTATCAACATTTAAACTACTTCCACTTCCTATGTGATAATTAAAATAAAATAAAAGTGTCAAATGCTTTACGACGCTAATGGCATGACTCATAATATATTCAAAAATATAACATACTACAAATATGCCAAATTTAATAGAAAAAGAAAGAAAATAATAACCTTATCAGCTACAACTAACGCGTTTAATCATTTCTTGCTATAATTACTACATATTTTATGATAGTAGTAAAATATGATTTTCATAGCAGAAAAAGTATTATTATCAGTAAATATGCGAGTTCCTTTACACAAATTGGCGATATTGAATTGACAGATAACGATTTATTGTACTTATTTTGAATTTTTGTGTAAAATACTACTAATTACCGCTGTGGGATGTTTTTTGCTATTGTTCGCTTTCTTGACCGTTGCTAAAGCAGCTGTTTCTGGTGATAACGCTGCCGTTTCTTGTAACGGCCATTGCTTTTCCGACAACAAAATTGGATGCATTGAACATTCGGTAGTTTTTGAGTCCATAGTGATGAAACCAAATTCCGTTTTGTTTTGCATTGGCCAATTTTGTTCTGCTTCGATATCATGAATTTCGTACTGTAAATTTAAGTAAAAAATAAATTACCAACGTCTAAGTTGCATTTCAAGTAGACATTTACCATGCGCTTGTCCGTCCAACATTGGCGCTCGTACAATTGCCACTCAATATTTACATATAAGCCATCACGACCCTCACATTCGACTAATGGTTTAAAAAAAAACACGAAAGTATTTAATGTAAATTATTATTATTGACTCATCAAAAAGCACTTACTATGAACTTTTATTTTGGAATTAGCCAATAAGGGACGTTCCTCGCGTGCAATGTTGGCATTCTATAGGCGAAGAAAATGTAAATTATTGTTAAAAAATATTATATTTTACAGCTTTTATTGCTTATGTTGCAAATATATTTTCATTCTTACCGGTGTTAGCGTTTTAATAGTTTTGCCAGCATCAGAATTTGTCTGCGTTGCTGAGGCAAGCATTGTCATCAGCAGAAACACCTTCACCAATATTAGTAGCTTTCGTTTCCACATTGTTTTATTTACCGTTTAAACTCGCACTTAAACACTAAAATGTTTAATTAAACAGTATAAAAAATAATCAAAATTGTTAATATTTTTGTGAATTGTAATTTACTGTAGCAACCAACAAATTTTCACGGAAAATCGACGTCAACAAGCAAACTCAGCAAAGTGGAATAGCAAAAGCAAAGGAAAATAAAAGTTCTGACAGTTGTAGTCGGTCGAATTGTCAATTTTTTTTACCAACTATTTGTTGGGGATAACATTAGAGCAAAATAAACAATAAATGCACTGAGAAAAAAATGTGGTAGTTTTGTTAAAAATGTTAAACCAATTAAGTTCACAAATGCAATGGCAATATAATGATATAATATGAAAGTAAAGAGTGAAGTCAAGTAATACAAATTTCTGTTAAAATTAGCACGATTTTTTAACAGTTTTTAATATCAAATAAAACAGCTGTTCTACATTTTTCCTTTATGACATGTAAACAACTAGCATATGTTTTCAGGGTGAAAAAAATAGAATTGGCAGTATTTGTATGACATAACCTCTTTAATAAGTCACAAAAAATAAGTGGAAATCGGTGTAAAAACAAGATGCTAAGAAAGGTAAATTTATTTTATTATGCATTATTCCATATACAAATGATTTATCTATACTACACAGCTTAGTCCAATTGTGCCGCGTCTGCTCTGCAATAATGCTGTTACGTCTTTAAATAAAACTTCAACACAGCAATACAGCGATGGGCGAAGCGTATATGAACCAGACTATTTGGAGGTACCTACTTGGATAAAATGTATTAAAACACGTTCAACCATAACTGCTTATTGTTACAGTCTTTGAAGCCCAAGTATCCACAATATTCCTGTCTCAATGTGCAAATGAAAGGTTATGATTTTCCAATACTTGAGAGCTACCAGCGTTACTTGCACAGTGTTGCGGAATACCTTGATATCGATGTGTCCGATTGGTGAGCGTGCATAAAAATATTCAAAATAACAATATATAGAACTACATTATTATTTCTAGTTACGCTTTGCCGCCACAAACCACACAAGTACAAAGATTGCGTCCCAACTCCGCCGTTGTGGATGCCGAATACAGGCTGAAAATGTATGAACGCAATCTGCAAATAAACGATGTAAACGCACCTGTGTATCCTGTATTTTTACGCATAGCGCAAGCCGCTTTGCCCGAAGGTGTGCAGTTAAGTGTACAAGAACACTCTGATGAGTTCGAGGAGCGCCGTTATGTACCCGATCGTGATTTGTTAGACCTCAAAGCAGAATTGGAACGCATGCAAACAGGCGGTATGGGCGGTCCCAAAAAGAAATAATTCTAAAAATATGTATGATTTGTTTTAATTGTACACGGAGGGTACAACGTACATGCATATATTTGTAGCAATCGCTTAATTTACACAAACTAAAATGAATAAAAATACTAAATTCACTGCTTAATACCTAAATGGAATGTACTATTTAAAGCTTTCCCTACTGGACGGCAATGTAGTTTTTACATCGAAATTTTTTGAAAACAAAAGTATATACGAAAAATTAGAAAAATTATTACAAGAAGGCACAAATAGTGTAGAGCTTAAACCTAAATACATATATATAGTATAAATGGACGTTTTATCTGCACAGCTTCTATTAAAGTAAGGCTGAATAGCACCGTTAGCATCAAAGCGAGAATTTGTAACAAAATGTGCTTGCTTAGACAACACCAAAGTGCACCACTTTAATAGACGGCTGAGATGTATTATTCGATTTGCGTGACTTTGAGGTTTCATCACGATTTGAGGACCTTACCGGCGGACGAGGTAATTCATCAGCTGAAACGAATAGACGGAGCTTTAGAAACGCAATACATACATATAACTACAATAAAAATACCTGCTGATAAGGGATTAAAATCTTTTAAATATTCATCATGTGGATGACATAACGGCAAGCTATCCGCTAATTCCTTCTTCGGATTTGTAATGTTACGCGGTAAGGGGCGCGAATAACCATTACGCTTCGGCAATTGTGGTTTTTCTTTGCGTGGGATCTCCTGCAATGTAAAGGTTTTAAAAGATTTTTTATTTTAATTTTGGTATTTTTTTTATTTTAATTTTGGTATTTTTTTATTTTAATTTTGGTATTTTTTTATTTTAATTTTAATTAATTAATTTTTTTTATTTTAATTTTTGTAGTCTTTTTAGTTAATTTTTGTATTTATTTTTATTTTTTTTTACTGTTATTTTTAATTGCATTGAAGCACTCACCGGCACTACAGCGACCTGCACCGTGTCCGAGAACTTCACTTTATTCTTCTCGCCTGCAGCATTGCGACCATTTCCAACACCATTGCCACCACTTTGCAAATCTTTATTCAAGCCATTTGCATACGTTGCACCACTGCCACCATTGACTAAATTAGCACCGTTATGTTGTTGTGTTGAACTATTCGATAGTATTGACGCCGTTGGCTTCTTTTGCAACAAACGCTTTTGATATTCCTCACTATTTGTGTTCACAACCAAAGTTGGTGGTATTGTGCCCGAAACTAATGGATGTTGATAATATTTTGGCTTATAATTAACAGATTGCAACGCGGATACGGCAGCAAGCGAAGTAGGCGTAAGCGCGGTTGGTGGCAACGGTTGCATATGTTTTTGTTGCAATGGCAAGGAATTTTCAGCAATCACAGCCGGTGTAGCATGATGCAGCACATTTGAATTGGCGGTGATGGTTTGCTGGTGTGTTGAATTTACGGGCAACAGTGTGTGTGCGCTGCTACTGCTGCCGGCGGTGTTAAGTCTTGGCAGCATTGTGGCGGCGGGTGGGTTTATACTGTTTGGTGCCATTACATCGGCTGGCAGTTGCTGCTGCCATGGTAAAAGTGTGACGGATGGAGCAGCAGTCAGCGCTGCAAAATGAACAAAAGAAATTTATAAAAATTTTTATATAAATATTTTTAGTGCTTGAAGTTACAGTAAGAATGTGCAAATACTTACCAATGCCGGTATTATTAAAATCACTGCCACTTTTCATAGACAGCTCAGCAAGCGTGCTGCTTATAGCTGTTGAGTTGTTGGTATTTTGTAAGAGTTTCAAGCTGCGCAACGACGGCAAAGGTGGCGGTGGTGGCGGCGGACGTGTACGTATTGCATCTTGTGTACTCTCTGTACGCAATTCGGGTTTTGGAATATTAATTTTTATCATTTCGGCACTAAATACTTTCGATTTGAATGATGGCAATGGTGGCACATAGTTCTTTAAATGTTCTTTTGTATATTTGTTATGTTGTAGCTTGCTGCGCTGCACCACCTGCATGTCGGAGTATGTTGATTGTGAGCACGCCGATTCCGAGCGATAATCGGCACTCGTACTTAAATTGTTATTCGCAACACCGTTCACAGCACCAACGTGTCCCTCCTCTTCATGCAGTATAGTCGCTGCCTGACTGAAAGCGGCGGCGGCGAATTCTAACAAGTTTACATTCGATTTGGTCTCGTTGAATAAATCCATGAAAAGATCATAATCCTCAATATCTTCAGCCACTTCAAAGGCCTCTGCATACATATGTTTTCTATATAATAAATTAATTAGATATACATACTTTAAAAAACATTTTTAATGCTAGCTTACCGCAGCAGATAGAAGAAAAAACGTCTTTTCAAATCAAACACCTGATCGCTAAACTCGTCTTTTGTTTCTTCGGAGAGTTCATCGGTGAATGTCTTCAGTGCTTTTCCCAGCAGCTCTACACGTGCGCGTTTCGCCTCACCACGAAAGAAAACATAATTAGCTATTTTGTGTAATGATATCAAACACATGGCGCCGTAGGTTTCCCAGTTGATCGCCATTAACAAATTCACCGCTTTCTCCAGTTGATTCAGCGCTAAATATTTGTCAACCAAAACATCAGCGGTCAGGCCTGAATTGTGTATGTCACCACGCATACCAGCGCCAGCGAAGAATCGCAAACAACCCAACGGACCTTGTTCGAAGTGCAACAAGAGCAAACAATCGGTTTGGCCATAGTGTAAAGCGCGTTGCGTCAAATCGGGCTTGTGACTAAATGCAATGTGCAACAATGTCGGTTGTATGGTGAAGTAGTGTGAAAGATCCAATAAATTCAGCGGCGTGACATCTTCGCTTTGCAATTGGTTGCCGACCGGCGTGAGCGCGAGGTCAAAACATTGAAATTGCGCACGCTCATTAGCTACCATAACAATACTACTATCCGAGTGCCATGCACATTGCGTGGGTATCTGCAATGGATATGTAATTTTATAATATAAATGACTATTGTATATAATTATATATAAGTTTGTTTACTTACGATGTCTATACGTGTTGTGACTTTGGTAACTTGCTGCACCAGATCATGCAGACAAATTTTGCGATCGATTGAACCCAAGAATAGTTTCTCTTGATCTGGACTAAAGGAGTGACAACATATTTGCGTTCCCATCGCAATTGACGTCACTGTGGCGCGTTGCATTTTACCAGCATTTATTTCATAGGTACATACTTCAGCTGATATTTCACCTTTTCGAGATACCTTTTGTTCTACGGTCAGAATTTGACTTTCGGCCGAGCGTAGAAAATCGACTGAGAGCGGATCATTCTCAGACCAACAATATGAAACGGACTCTATCTGCATGCTATATTAAAACAAGAAGAAGAAAACTGTTAGTTAAGCGCAAGTATATCTGAATAACTACTTGGCAAAGTTATATAATTGTGGAGAATGCTGTGCTGGTGTCGGTACTTGCCAGTGATATCTTCTTGCATATCTTACACTCACCCCTTTAATTTGAAAACATGTATATTCGCCCTATCTTGATCACGTATTGTTGGTCGCCAAGGATAAACTTCGTTTTGAGAAGATTTCGTCCATATAACAAAAAGATCCGCGCTACTGTTTACGATTAGATGACGCGATAATTTACGCTCTGACGTTCCTGGTATTATCACATGAAATATGCGTGGATCCATATTACTAATTTTCTCAGGTCCTTGCAGACGTGTATTCGGTTTTTGTAAATGCACCACCGTCAACTGATTCGTATTATAGGCTAAGACGATGTGGGAACGTGTGAAAAACGCTAGACCAGAGATAAAAACATGAGACAATAAAACGTATTACTAATGTAATGCAAAATTACTGTATGTAAAACAAACAAAACACAGCAAAGTTGTGAGCGAAATTAATTAACATTAATTGCATGTGAAACTGTGTGAATGCGCGCATGCTCATGGGTATGCGCAAATGCAAATTTCTCCACACTATCAGCACCAGAGAATACATACATATACACACAGATAAACAACATTCGCCGCGCAACTGTTTGTCACATTTATTTCCATGCCTATGCGCATACATAAACACTTACCGTCGGTGATAACTTCCGACGCCAGCTTGCCAACAAGGTACTTCTCGTAGACCATACGCAAGATGTCACCTGTCGCCGGATCCACAGATATATGTGCGATAATACCATTGGCGAATAGCAGCAGCACTTGCGCTGCATCACGCCATTCAGAATGCACAATTTTATAATTCCGCAGCAATTCCTCCAATCGTTTAATGTTATCCTTTAAACGCCCAGGTGCCTTGCGGCTATTCTTGAGCACGGTCACACCATTACGCCGTTCAGTGTAATCACGCTTGGCGATCGCTGTCAGTTCAGCGTTCTGTTGTTGTGCCTCTCGATTGCGTGTGTAACGGAAGGCACCCAGGTCGGTTGATTTAATGCGCAACTCATCGCGTACACTCCATAGATGACATTCACCGAGGAGCGTTAGCATTGCAGGTGCTTGTGGTTGCAAACGTCAAGCAGTTGGCTCTCAATAACTTTTGTTTATATTATATAAATGTTTATATTTCTATAATATTCTATTCTTACAATACGCTCACATCATTTATCGTTAGACGATTTAATGCACTACTACACTTTTTGCACATGCAATTTCCAAATGAATTTATGCACAACGGGAATTTAACAAACCACAACTCCAGGTCTCGTTTTAAGCATACATGTGCTAATGTTATTCCAAACTTATCGCCAACAAACGGCACTACAAGTATATTTCTATATGCGGCTGCTATCTCGCGGTTAGCGTTGCCGTCGTTACCACAGTCACAGCTAGATTCCCGAAGAATTTGGCTAATTTATGCGTTGAAATAATATTACTTGATATATGTTGCTATTGTTATTGAGTAAGTAGTTAATGTTGTTTGCGTCGTTGTTGTTGTGCTGCTGTTAACTGCATGCCTTTTATTGCCCTACTGTTGGTATGGATGCGCAAGTTTGCCTACGTTGTAGTCATTGTGCTATGCAGACCTGTTGATTCTGCGTATTGGTATTTCAAGCAAATTAATTTTATGTTTTAGTACATTTATTTACACTTGTATATATGTAGCACTTAAACACGAATTTTTTTCAATATTACACAACAATATCGCAGATATTTTGTTTAAAAATAAATATATAAACACTAATAACAATAAAAAATTGCACGCAAATTGACAATCAACAATGAATTGTTGCTTCTGCCCGATTAGTGTATGATCAGAGATGAGAGAAAAGCAGAGTTGCACACAGAAGTCATGACGACTACACCGGAAACAATAGTCTGTTTAAATGTAAAATAATACGAAAATCTATTTACTTATTTCTGAGAAATACTTTAAGGAATCACATTATACGTGTAAACATTAATAATTATTAAAAAAATTATATTATTATTATTTATAATAATATATATGTACTAAGTTTCTCTCAAAGAAACCGAACGATTAAAACAAAAAAGTCTTTGTAGGAAAAGCTTTTTCATTTGACGGGATATCTTCACGAAATTAGGTACGGATTATTGTCCAATGCAAAGATACATTATTCGAATAAATTGTTTGGATCGGACCACTATAGCATATGGCTGCCATTCAAATTGAGCGTTTTAAACCAAGTTCTTATATAGAAAACTATTTGAGGAGACATCTTTACGAAATTTAGTGCGGGTTATTGTTCAAGGTAAGGCTATAATTTTCAAACATATTGTTCAGATCAGACTACTATAGCATATAGCTGCAATACAAACTGACCGATCAACGAAAAAATCTTATATGGATAACTTTTTTATTTGTTAAGGGTATTAAATGCGGTGCAAACGAACTTAACGCTTTTTCTTGTTTTAATTATTGTTAATTTATTATACAGAAATATATTACTTAATAAGCGATATTATTCAAAACCATAAATAAATTATGTGTGTTATATATTTACCTAAATTTTTCCAATATGTTCTACACAACAAACCTTTCGCCATTTTAATAGTAAAAAATAAGAGATCCAAGTTTTTATTTAAACAAATCTTTTATTTCATTTCAGTTGTTGTAATGTATTGTAAAATATATAATTTCACAAATTAATTCACAGATATTTTTTTCGTGTTTCTCATTCACATTTTTATATATTTACTTTGTTTCTTTTATTTCATTTTTAAGTAATTCATTGATTTTGCCATAGTTTGTAAGCCAAGTTTACTTTAAAGCAAAATCGAAAAACTCTTACGACACTAAAACAAGTAACATGGATATATTTACGTGTATATATTTAAATATATATGTATGTGTGTAAATTATTTTTATACTTAATGTTATGTAATTACATATGGAAATCTGTACTAAACAGCTACAAAAACAATAAACTTTCAGCGCACAAAAATTAAAATAACGTAAAACCGCAAACTTGCCAGCTTAACGACAAAATGTCGGCGTACAACATTTTATATCAAATTTATTAGTTATTTTTTAAATATTATGTGGATTTTCTCTTACACTAGCGGTGGCAAAGTGACGCAAAATTACTTTGAACAATTAGAATTAAAAAGGAATTTATATATTCAAGTGTTTTCTTTTCGCTACAAGCAATATTTAATATTTTTTTAAAACAAAAACAAAAAAAATTATAATAATAATAATTGTATACATACATATATGTTTTGTATGTTTGTGTTTATATATGAAATTCAAGTTGCAGTTTGAGTTTTCAAACACTAGTGTTGTGCTTTAAGGACTTTGTAATAACATTATTCAAATTTTTTCATTATATTTGTATATATTTCATTGTTGTTCTTTATACCTATAACTTAATTTTATACAAGGCATTGCGATATTTGCTAACGTTTTGTTATGCGTTTATGTACATACATATATAGTAAATGACTTTTTGGACGACGATGAATTTACAAGACAAATATTGCAGACACGTAGTATGTTTGCGCCTAAAAGCATGCTAATTTGCATTAAATACGTACATGTTTGGTATTTTTTGTGAAAATTTACCAAATTAACGCTGGATCAATTCAATGAATGCCAATATTTAAAGCGCAAATCTACTTTTGGGCGCTATACCACGCAGTCTTACAGCTCATGTGACATCTTGAAAAACTAACATAAATTTTATCACACCTCTTTTCGACTACATACTATTTACACAGCAACTTATATTTAAGACTTATTTTTTACTATTTTGTGCCAATTAAATATTTATAGTGGTTATTATGATTTTATTATTTTTTTTTTTTATTTTTTTTTTCAATTTTTTTTAAACAATTTTATATGAGCTACTTTGCAGTCTAACTATAGAGCAGCCTTATTCAGTGTTTCGATTCCAAATTTGGTTAAAATATGTTTTTTTTGTGTTTGTTTTTTTTGTTTTTGTTCGTGGTCAATTTCAACTACAAGTAAAATAAGCAAAGCAAAACAAAAAAACAAAATATAATAATAATAAAAATAAAAGTAATGCTTATTTCAAGTATATATTATTTAGCATTACAGCAAATGTGCTTAACCAATTAAAATGTTTATGGCATGAGCAAGTACGTATACATTTAGTTGCACTAATTGAAGTGCATATGACTTATAAATTTCAAGACGAGTGTGTAGAAAATTAAATATAGCACTTCAAGTGTTTAGCTACAAATATGACGACATGCTTAAACATGTATGCGCCTCAAATGTGTATCAATCCTTTTGTGTTGCTTCATTTCACCCAATACTTAGTGTAAAAATAATAATTTATAGTTAACATTTTAAGTGGAATAAGTAAATTATTTAACACTAAAATAACGTTTTTAAACATTTAAGCGTACAAAGTACATACTTTTACATACATAAATAAGGTTTCACAATTTTTGTTTTATAATTGTTTTACAATTAGTTTTTATATGTGCACTTATGTGAGTGTGTGTGTGTATGTGTTTAGCGTTGTTTTCATTGCATAATACACATAAATATATAAATATATAAATCTATATATTAGCCAAAAGCTCTACACTATAGAGCTGAAGAAGAAAAATATATTAAACACAACAAATTCAAAAATTATGTTCAGAAAATGTTTTAAGCAAATAAAATCAATAATAAATTTAAAAAACTTAAATATTGCAAATATAAATTTGCTGAGCAAAAGTAATGTCTGCGTTCACTTTATGCGCACAAAATAAGTGGCTTATCAGTGTTGGCCTGCCATATCTCTTAAAAGTAGTATATTGACTGACTGCTTGATTGTTTAATTGCTGCACAACATTTCCTATGCACGAAAAAAAAACTAAATAAACGCATTACATAAAATTTTGCGCACAACTTGCAACATGCTACTCTATTAGTTAGTGTGTTTGCTAGAATTTAAAGCTATTTCAAAATAGTTTTCAATTCGTTGTACGCCTTTGTTTTTGTATCAGCGTGCTGCAGTCTTCTAACGTCTACTCATAAGCGCCTAGAAGTGCGCTGCAATTTTTACAACTTTATATTACATAATTTGTTTAGCAACAAAGTTGCATAGTAACTTTGTAGCTAAGAAAAAATAAAATTTTTAAATACATTTTTTCATTGACCACGTGCTTACCCTATATGCACACATTAATACACACACAAACACACACACACAGTTTATATATAAGTATTAGCGATGTGTGTGTGTTGGCGTATTTGTACTTATAGTCGCTCAAATCAATCACGCTACAAGTCATAAACGAAAACAAATCTAGAAATCGTAGAATTCATTGCTTTTATTATTGAATCGTCGCGTTAACACATACACGACTGCTTCGTAGGTGGCCATCATTATGGCTGTGTTAGGTATTTGTCGCACCAATTGTGTCGCTAAGCCTCTGCAAAGATAAGATAATGAAAGAAATATGCATTAATGTCTGGAATTGATTTGTTGTGGTCAAATATACAATTTTGCACAAAAAAAATTTATTTTTATTAAATTCTTCGAATTTCGAAAAAAATTTAGTGCCAAGAGAATTTATTACTGAAAAAAGTAATAGGAAATACTTTAGTTATTGGCCACACTGTCGTTGCCATAACACTGCAAAACGGAGAAACAAAGCCCTCAGATCACAAGGAAACACGTTGTCTCCCTTGGCCGCAGGACTTTGCAAAGTAGAGAGCATAATGGATAACATATTAAGCGTGCATTTTGAAAAATCGATTTCAATTTTTGCATATATGGTATATCGAATTATATTTTACTAACCAATATCTATATTTGAGCATTTTCTACGATAATTAAAAAAAAATTAGTCCGGCAAATTGTTTCAGAGATATGACTTTATTTCTAATAATATGACAAGATAGTGTAAACGGCTACCAAAACTTTAAACGCATTTTTCTCGAAACACTATTTTCGGAGTCGGCAAGGAAATTTTCTTCGAAACGGCTGGACCGATCGTCACATGACTTTCCTAGATATATTTGTCAGCTAATCACCGAAAGAATACGATTTTTTAAGCCACTCTGAAGTGTACATTTTTTCACAAAAAAAAATTTTTTATGGGAAGTCGGAAGCCGCCATTTTAACAAAAATCTAAATTTTGGCTAGTCTTTCGATCATTGCCTGTATTCATATATAGTAATAATATTTTTATACCCTGAACAGGCTTAATATAAAGCCACTAAATTTGTAACACCCAAAAGAAAACGTCGGTGATTCTATAAAATATATACATAAATGATCAACATGACAAGCTGAGTCGATTGAGTCATGTCCGTCTGTATATACGCGAATTCATCTCTAAGTTTTTGAGATATCGATCTGAAATCTTGCACGCGTCCTGTCCACCCCAAGATGCTCATTTGTCGGAATTGTCGCTATTGGATCACTATAGCATATAACTGTCATACAAACTGAAAGCTCGGAATCAAGTGCTTGTATGGAAAAATTTTCCTTTGACGAGATATATGTATAAGTGGTGCAATTTTCGAAGAAATTTTGCAGATCGAATCACTATAACATAAAGCTGCGATACAAGCTGACCGATCAAAATTAATGATCTTTTAAGGAATTTTTGGTTTTTGTCAAGAGTATTATAGCTTCGATGCGACCGAAATCAACGGGTTGTTTTTTATATTTTTTTTTTGCTTTTTGGATTTGTGATAATTTTAAGCAAAATCATATTTTCACTGCCAGAAACCTTTTTTCTCTCCCAGAGATTGGCTACGTAATCGAGGGGATCAATAGGGAGAACTTAGTTCGTAATATTATCTTTTCTGAAGTGCCATGGAAACATATGTATGTTTATAGCAGAGGAATTTGTTAGACCTTTATAATTCCAAAAACTGTTTCTGAAATCTTTCTTTTAAGGCTGATGAAATTATTAAACCGTTATAACACCTAATAATAAATATTTGAAACAACCAGAGTGGAAAGTTCAGTAGGTTTAAACAAATACTAAGAACAATAAAATAATTCACGAGTTATTGCTATTTGCATAGCTAATAAACAAGCTTACTTAAAGTAAGCTAAATTCCACAGGGTGTTCATAAAAAGTTGCGCAAATTGTGTGCGCAATTTTTTACGCGTCGTCACGGGTTTTTATATTTATAAATGCTTTTCAATAAAAGTAATTATTACTTAACGTTTATTATAATTTAGCGAAACATGCATAAGAAAAATAAAATAAAATAAACAGACTTTTGCTAAGAAAATCTTATTTTATGGCGAGTAAATAAACTAATGCGTAATTTGGCAATAAAAAAAAATCCAAACAAATAAATCACTAAGGGGCATAAAAGAATTTGACAGACAGTGTGAAGTGGCGCACACGTGTACATATGTGTGTGTGTGTGTTTACGTAAAGTTTGCCTTCTATGTCATTGAGATAATCAAATTAAAAATAGACACAACAACGACGCATACAAGAGGCTACAGTGTGGTCGGTCAATTAGTGTAAGCGTATGTATATGTATGTGTATGTAATTGTACATTGAAAATATTGAAAAAACATATGTACATACGTAAGTACACTCTAATGCTGACAGAGAAAGCGTTTTATTTCTTGCAATTATGCATATTAGCAGTCGAGGTCAGTTGATGGAGAATTTTATTGCGAAATTTGCAATTTGACGATGGAAAAAGGAGCTTTTATGAACATCTTTATCTTAGTTTTGATGGGTCAGTTTTACAATGTAAACAATTAGATATCTTGTCAGATAAAAAGTTTTCCATACAAGTACTTGAGTATGATCGATTAGTTTATATGGCAACTACATGCTTTTGTGGTCCGATCCAAACAATTTGTTCGGAGATTGTAGTGTTATCTTGTTATCTATTTAATTTATTCTTTTTTTTTTAATTTCTAAACCAGGCACAGCCGGGACGCTTAATTCGGAATCCGGACTGTCCCGGTCAAACCGGGATAAATGGTCAGCTAAAGCTATACCCTATAGTGGTTCGATAACGGCGGTTCCGACAAATGAGTAGCTTCTTGGGGAGAAAAGGATGTGTGTAAAATTTCAGATCGATATGTCAAAAACTAAGGGACTATAAAGAGAGATGGCAAAATCGACTGCGGTCGTTACGGCTTAATTTATGGGGTCTCCTACGCTTCCTGCTGGCTGTAACAAACTTCGTGGCAAACCTAATATACACTGTGCAAGCTATGAAAAGAAAACTTAGAATATTGTTCCAACGACAGTGGTCGCTACGTAACCGGAGTGTAGCCGGATTTATATGCTCCGAAGGACTGAAAACTTAGCAGCATTCCTCAAAATCATTTGGAGAATGTTTTCTGCCGCTACAACAACAACAGTCACTTCTAATTCATATGCTAAAAAATTATTAAAATTTTGCATATTTAGTTGTGCGACTTACCGATAAAGTCCAGCTCTACCTTCCTCTTTCCACACAGTCTGCAATGTTTGGAAAAATGTATTATATTTATTGCCCTCCTCGCGCAGTCTTGTGCGTGCCACCTCATGTGGATACGCAATACAGGATGCTACAGTCTTTGAAACGGCACCAGCCATCATGAATTCCAGAAAATCCTTCGACGATTTGACATCTTCGTGACGTGAGTTGCGCATTTCTAGCTGTAAAATCGTTAGAAATATATTATATAGTTATTGTGGCAAGAAAAAAGTGTATTTTAGTAGCACGCTTACCAGTTTCGATTTGATAAACTCATAAATGACGAAGTGTACCATTGTCTCACAGATGCCAAAATAGCTGGCCGTAATGCCTTTGTAGAAACCGGCAATGCCGCCTTGTGCATACACTCGATTAATGCATTCTCGCACCGTCATTTGCACTTTGGAATTATAGTCTAGCTGTAGGCGCGTCTTCACAAACCAAATAGGATTCGTTAGTGTGGAGGAGACAAAACCAGCGCTGGCAGCGCTCAAGATGTGCACTTGCGGTGACTCCGTTTGCATGTAACTGCAACAAATTTGTGCGAAAATAATAATTTTGTTAATTATGTTATCGAATTGGTTTGTAATAAGCAACTTTTACCAGTGGTAAAATTAGTGAATCGCTAAAAAACTGTGCATAGAGATCAAAAGCGGTCAGAGGTGTTTTCGTGAGAACGTGACCCACACGCCATACTGCATTGTTGGAGAGATTCATTAATTAAAGTGGCGACGCTGTTATTATTATTATTATGATATTTTAACCTACGTAAGCAAGCGCGGAGCTATTGTCCACTTAGAAAATTATCAATCATATCGTGTGCACCTTTCGAAAATATAGTCGCAAATCGGTGCTCCACCAGCAAATTTCAACTGGTAACCACATGTATGAAGCATTTTTCTGCATTAATGTCTATCGATTAAATATTTTTATTTGCCTAACATTTTTTCGAATAATTTATGTATTTGTATATGTGGAAACTAGTAGTACTAGTCCAGTAGAACAAAACTGCGTATAATTTGCTTTATTAATAAATGGTGTAATAGACAGAAGGTGCATAAATATCAAGAAAACATAAACAAAAGCCTACGGCACCTTGCATTACGCAAACTGGAAAAATTTGTTTGTCAGGTAGCACTAAACCCATATCAAATATGGTATTTTCTTTAATTTGGATTCCAAGAAATAGTATATATTTTATTATTATTTTTTTTATAATTTTGTTTCGTTTATTGGACAATAATGTAAAAATATTTTAAGGTTAAGCCAAAATCCATTCATCAAGAGTTATTCATAAATGCTGCGTATGCAATTTTTTCTACTTGACCAGATTTATATAACTTGTCTAGTTCGAAAAATGTATTTTCAAACCGTTTTATTTAGCACGTTGCGTTTTCAATACGAAAAACCAAGCATAAAAAACAACGAAACTTACCTTAAATTATTCAAAAAATTCTTTGTCTGTGAGTAGGTGCAAAAATATACCGCACGTGATGGCGCTACGCCAACGAGATTTGGGCCCAGACCTTTGAAAAGTGCGCGTGGACCTTCATTTTGTACTATGTACCTGGAAAAATGAAAATAAATAAATTATTTTAAACATTATAGGCTAGGTTAGATGCAACGAAACAGAAAACTTGACTTGCCAAATATTATACTGAATACTTACCTCAAGCACTGTATGATGCTCATGGACTTTGTGGAGGTGGATGAGATGCCGCAATGTGAAATAGCCATGATCTGTAGTCAACAAATAGAGTTTAAAAACAAAAAGTAAATATTATTTACCTAAAATATCAATAATTGTTAAGCAACTGCTTCGAAACAAAAATTATAAAATAGAAATATTGAAAATTTGCATAAAATTGGTACTACCCTACGCACACCCCCAATCACCTGTGGCTGTGACCTCTTACGCAAAATGGTTGTGCTCAATTTACGACGCTGTTCGGGTCGTAACAATTCGCTGGCGCCATTGGTGGAACCCGGCGGTTCGAGGCGTGTGGGTCCGAGAAAGGCATTGGAACTCTGTAAGCGCGTCTTAACCACTTCCAAGGGGCATGTGACGACAGCACCAACTGTGCCAGCGGTACTGGAAAAAAAGCAGAAAAAAATAATTATTATAGCAATATATACATATGTATGTATGTATGTACGTTACGTTTGTCTATTGTAAGCATATTTAAGACAAATCAGCAAATGATTGAAGAAAGCGTATAAGAAGTTCAATTGATATTGATGCAAGTCTTGAAAAGTAAACAGGAGGCTTGGTTATGTATAAAGCATACAAATACAAATATACATGTAACGCTTGAGCGTCACGCCAACTGATAAAGTACGTTTAAATTCTCGGTTGTTAGCAGGAAGACATGCTGTCACATTTTTATTTGATTTGCTTTTAAAAATGTCTTTATAACTAACCAAGCGCAATTGACGTGCAACACGTCATTGTCGACGCACTTGAGCGCCTAGCGAAGAAACAAATTGCATTTTGTCGAGCAGAATAACAAATAAGTGCTTGGTTTGCAATTTGTAGTTTATCTTTCGTATTTCTAAATTATTTACAAAAATTGCTAAATATTTAATTATTTTATTTTTAAATTTAACATCTCCTTTATGGCATTTTGACGATTGAGAAATAATAAAAGAAACTGTTTATTTTGACAGCAAAATTATAGACAAGTTATGCAACAGCAATTAAAAGCGTTCGAAAAAGATAATTAGAAGCATTATCTCAGTTTATCTCAGCGCTATCTTCGTTTACTTGCACTGTAAAATTATTAATAGAAAATTATGGCAACGAAATAATGACGGCTTCGTACGGTTATGCAAATGTTATAATTTAAAATTTTAAATTTTTAAAGTTTTATAGAAAACTTTTTATAGCACAATCTTTATAGCAACATATATTTTATGATATTGTATAAAATTGTATATCGCAGTTCTTTATTATTAAAATGAATTTAGTAACGCAATATATTTTGAAAAACAAAAAAAAATTTTAAAAATTTCGAAACTTTACTTTAGAGTTACCTCTTAAAATATATATCTCTTATACAAATATGTAGGCTCTAATTTGGAGACATTTCAAGTTTTCCACACAACTTGATTTTAATCGGTCAGTTTATATGGCAGCTATATGCTATAGTGAGCCTATCTGAACAATATGTTCGGAGATTGCAACATTTTCTTGAACAATAATCCATGCCAAATTTCATGAAGATATCTTGTAAAATAAAAAACTTTTCCACACAAGGATTTGATTTTGATCGATCAGTTTGTATGGCAGCTATATACTATAGTGATGCGATAGCGGCGATTTCGTGAAATAAGCAGCTTCTAGGAGAAAAAAAGGATCTGTACAAAATTTCAGATCGATATCTCAAAAACTGGGGGACTAATTCGCGTATATACAAACAGACGGACAAGGCTAAATCGACAGAGCTCGTCACGCTGATAATTTATATACAGCTGGGTGTTACAAACATCAGGGCAAACTTAATACACTCTGTTCAAGGTATAAAAAAAAAATATATATATAAACAGAACAACTATAATTTGTCATTTAGTCTTTTTTGAGATGTGCCACCCACCACCTCCGTGTGTATGAATGGGCTTAATTAATTTTATGAGGTAAACAAAAATAATGTACATATTTGTACTTTCCACTTGCTTATCTAATATACAGACATGTTAATGCACAATTACATGGTTTGGTCGATAATAAATAGAAAGTTCTTGTGCCAGTAAGCAAATAGTACCGAAAGTGAACTGTAAACTAAAAAGTAGAAGGCAATAAGTCAGAACAGTAAAAACAAGTCGTAAATCAAAACAATATGTTGTGTAAATAATAAAATTAAAATAGGTCTATGTAATACATATATATATATATATTATCAAGCAATGCTGGTAAACTTATACGAATTATAGAAAATGATACTGGAGAATTTGAAAAAAAAAATGTAAAAGTGAAAACAGTAAATAAAGAATAAATAAAACACAATAATAATATTACATATAAGCTTAAAACCATGCAACAACAAAAGCAAATATTTGAAAGTTACTCAACTTACAATTGAGACAATAATCATAAATAAAATTATATTTTAATTAAATATAGACAGTTTAATAACAAAAACAAAGCAAAATAAAGGAAACATTATCAGCATCACTCATCCTTAACGGAGTGAGGGAAACGGCAAACAAGAGAGGAACGTACTGACGTGCCTCATCGCATGTATTTTTATTTTTATTTTTACAAAGAAAAATAAAATACTAAAATCAAAACAAAATGTACAACCAACCACAAACCGACTCAAACCGGTTTTGCCTGGGGTGACAACGGCTACTGATAACCTTTAAATGTCAAACCGGTTTGACGTTTAGTGATAACAGCATTTAAGAAACAAATACCGGCTCAATTGACTTAAATCTTACGAAAGCTTGGTCGCAGGCCAGTAACGGCTCGGTCGTCAAGTCAAGTCTGGAAATAGCACAGCAGACAGACGGTCATAAAGCCAGATACTGTTTGATGTGCATAAGCTGAGCGTGGAAATGTGCGATTTTATTGTGAAATTTTTGAGACAAAAACAAAAATATATACAAAAATAACAATACGTAAATGTGATGCACAAAACGTGCTGACAGACAATTTATTGCAATACGCATGGAAATTATATGAGATGCGAGACGTTTAAAGGCACATGCTTTATTTTGAATTATCTAATAACAACTTTGTTATTGGCGAAAAGCCGTCACATGAGTCGCAAGCAGGGTGGCGAATTTTTTAATTACAAAATTTTGGATTATAAATTAGATTTTCATTTTTTAATCGAAGATGTTTGAGATTAAGAATTGAAAATATTACTTTTTTATTTGTCAGAACTCGAAAAAATGTTTATTCTAAAGCAAATGCTTTTTTTAATTCTTAACTATATGCTTAAGATTAATATTTTTCTTTTTTATTTTTCAATCCGGTAGTTGGGTTTAAAAATTAAGAATAAATTTTGGGATTAAAAATTAAAAAATAAATTATTTTTGATACATAAAAAATAATATTGAACGATAAAATAAATTTTTAATCTGGTTTTTAAGTTAAACATTTTTTTTTTAGTCCGGCAGTTGAAACTATAAATTAAAAATAAGTTTTGTGATTAAAAATTTATTATAATTAATTTTTATTTTAAATTAATTTTTATATAAAAAATTTATTTTTATTAATTTTTAATCTGGTTTTTACATTAAATATTTTTTATTTTTATTCTGGTATGCGGTTTTAATTTTCTTTAATCCCGTTATGTGATTACAAAAAAAAAAAAAATTAGTTCAAAATTGAAAATATTACTTTTTTATTTGACTGAACTCGAAAAAATGTTTATTCTAAATATCTTCTATTAATATTTTTATTTTTTATTTTTTAGTCCAATAGTTGGGATTAAAAATTTAAAATAAATTTTGGGATTAAAAATTAATCAAAATAAATTATTAAATTATTTTTTTAATGCATTATTTGCAACCCTGGTCGCGAGCAATTATACCATAGACTAAATATTATATGTGTGTGTAGATATGTATGTATGCAATTTAGTGAGCTTTCATTGATTGCGATTAATTGAATAGCATTTTTATTATATTTTAATAATGTTTATTTTTGTTTTTTCAATAAATCATACGATTTGTGACGACAGGTAATTTGATACACATATGCATGTATATGGTATATGACAAATTAAATGCATTGGCAATCAATCACAACGTTAACGTTACAACAACTGCCCAGCCAATCGTGGCACAATGCATTGCAGTAAAATTATAGGAAAAAAGTAATGCAAAAAAACTGTGTAGCTAAATTACACATAAAAGTGGAATGTGATATTACTATGGCGCACTTGTACTAAATGTGCTTTCAGCATTATATACATAGCTGCTGTGTAAGCTATTTGCATTCAATTGCAATTATGTATTAGAAGTATAGCTATGAACTTGACTTGTCGCTTGGCTATTGTTAGTCGGCGGCGCTGCACCGCAGCCCACAACTATTATTAGCTATCAGATTGCAAAGTGCGATTAGACTATTTTCAAAGTATACATATAATATACAAGTCTATTATGCATTATTAATTTACTGTAATTTATTTTGATTTACAATATCAATGTACCTAAGTATGGATACATAAAATATAATAGATGCGCATTGCTTACATTTAAGGGCATCATGAAATAGTATAGTGTCTTTAAAGCGAATAAGAAATCTGAAATGCGCTAGAAAATAATGCCCATAAAAGGTTGAAAACCTTTTAGGTAGTTTACAATAATATACAGGGTGTCATACAAAATTACACGCAATATTTAAAAGAGATAGGGATCAATGTAAGATTTTGAATGTCATATCTAAATTTGTGATTACAAACAAAATAGTTATATAGATAATTGGTTGTTATTGAGCTATGTAAATGTTCGCGACCTATGGTCTATTGTGCCGTCGCCTCTTTCACAAGCACTCACATAGACCCAGCTAGAATATGTGGACTCCAGGGTCTTGTTCCCGCATTTACGCAATCCAGAAACAGATGCTTCGGACTTTCAAGAACCATGTCAGAGAATCGACACATTTGCAGATGAGACTAGATCCATATTATATAGGTGTCTCTCAAGCCTGCAGTGACCGGTGTATGTTTAGACGAAATTTGTGATTTTTCCAATTTCATTACCAAAAAATTTGTTTGGCAAACAATACTCTATTGAATTTATGCCATTAATCTACGACCGAAACTCAAACCAACTCAACTGCCGAGTGTTATTTCGTCTGCGATTCGCCAATTCTCCACTGTCTATTTTTAAGCATCAATCAATAAAAAAAACTATATGTGAAGGCAACAACAAACTTATGCAGTTGAATTCAATACAACAAACCTAATTTAAGGAATCCGGACTATCACGGGATGCCTTTTTATGATCCCGATCGAACACCTACACAGTGAGGCGCGTATGCTATCGATTAAGGAACGCAACGAGCTTCTCTCCAAGCAGTTTCTGTCGAGATGCATATGCAGAAACCACCACTGCAGTGGTCTGCTTGAAGCGGAACCGCCT